GCAGAGGCAACAGAGGGCAAGAGGGGGGAGGGGGAGCACCCCTCAAAGACAGGGGTACGAGGGTCACCACGAGAGGCTCCTACAGCGACTATACTCTTTTCTGCTGCTAGGAGGCGCTCCTCGAGGAGGTCAACGGTGAGGGTGGTGGGGCAAACAGAGAGGAAGTGGTCCCTGACCGAGCGAAGGGTGTCAGGGAGCCGGGTGACTATCTAGTAGAGGGTGATGTACATAGGGGGGGGGTTCTTGGCGCAGAACTCAGCAGGAAGCGCAGCGCGGTAGCGAATGTCACTAGTGCGAAGGTGCGTAATGAGGTCAGCGACTGTGGGAAAAGCGGCAAGGTCAGGGAAGAGGTACGGCAGTATGAGGCGGCTAAGGGCAGCAGTGGCAGGGGAAGAGTAGCGTGCAACGACAGCGTCGTACAAGGTCTTAGCACTCTTGTACTGACTAAAATGCGCGCACTCAGCGGTCGGTAAGTGGCAGCGCACAGCAGGGCGAGCAGCGGCATCGCGCGTGGCCCACTGTGAGCGAACAGTGGCGTCAGCATCAGCAGCAGGGGCAGGAGAGGCACCAGAGGTGAGGTCAAACAGAGAGAGACCGTCTGCCCTATCGCACTGTAGGAAAAGCTGCAGATCATCTACCCAGACCTCAAAGTCAACAGCCCGACCCTCAGCGTCAAAGGTGAGAACACTGGGGGTGGCCATGACAGCAGTAGACTGGCAGAGAGAGCAGCGGGGTAGGGCAGTGCAGTGGCAGAGGCGCTGCTCTTACCAGGCAGGTGGGGCGGGCCGAGGCAGGCCGGCAGGGACAGGGCCGCGACGGCAGGGACTGCGGCGTCTCGGCTGCGGTGGCGTGGCGGCTCGGCGGCTCGGCTGCAGGGCGGCTCGGCGGCTCGGGGCCTCGGCGGCTCGGCGGCTCGGCAGCTCGGCGGCACAGCGGCAAGGGCGGCTCGGCGGCTCGGCGGCCCGGCGGTGACGGCGGCTCGGCTGCTCGACGGGGCCGGGAAGGGCGGCTGAGGGGCCGAGGAAGGGCGGCAGGGCCGCGAAGGGCGGCGACGGGGCCGCAAGGGGCGGCAACGAGGCCGCTGAAGGGCGGCGACGAGGCCGCTGAGGGGCGGCGACGAGGCCGCTGAAGGGCGGCGACGAGGCCGCGAAAGGGCGGCGACGGGGCCGCGGAAGGGCGGCAATGGGGCCGCTGAAGGGCGGCGACGAGGCCGAAAGGGGCAGCGACGGGGCCGTAAGGGGCGGCGACGGGGCCTTAAGGGGCGGCGACGGGGCCTTAAGGGGCGGCGACGGGGCCGTAAGGGGCGGCGACGGGGCCGTAAGGGGCGGCGACGGGGCGGTAAGGGGCGGCGACGGGGCCTTAAGGGGCGGCGACGGGGCCGTAAGGGGCGGTCGCGGGGCCGGAAGGGGCGGCGACAGGGCCGCTAAGGGGCCACGCGGGGCCTAGAGAGGGCAGCGACGGGACCTGAGGGGCGGGACACTAGGCGCGCTTCGGGCAGGGGCGGCACGCGCCCCGGGTAGGAAAAAAAAAAAAAATCTTGGTGGGCCCTAGGAACAGTTCCCACGAGGGAACCTGCTCGATACCATGAGAAACTTAGAACGAGAGAATGAATTGACTAAGGAATGAAAGTGATACAAAAGGTGAAAAGCTAGAATTGTGTACCCCTTAGTGTCTAACCCGCTACAGCCTACACAGGCTAGATCATATAAGTTTGACAACGCCCGCGTTTGGGAGCGAAGTACACGCAGCAGCGGCTATGGGGAGCCCCGCCACCCCGAAAAGAAGCTTCACCGCAACGTCCAGTAGCGACCCAAGACGAGGCGCCCGCTAAAACTACCGGTGACGTTCTCTACGAGACCATAAAGCATCGCTTTGAGTCGGAGTGGAAAGGTAAATTCAAGTGGTTGCGTCTTATTCGGATGCCTAACGGAGAAGCAAAACTCAAGTGTGACATCTGTGTGCAGCATGGCGACCCCGTAGCTCACACTAGCTACGGTGTGAGAGGTGAAGGTGGCCGCGACCTGCAGATAGGAAGCGTCCGGGCCCATTCCTCAACACGAGCCCACAAGAGCGCAGTCAAGAACCAAGAAGAAGCTGTAACTGAGAAGGAGAAACAGGCGAAACTAAATCGGTGGCAGACAACTGACGCGTCTACGCGTCACATCATTCGCGTGCTTCATATTGCGCTTTTTATCTGCAGGGCGGATGCACCCGTCTCGATGTTCATCCCGCTCTGCTGGTTCTTGGCAAAGGAAGGCCTTCCAGACCTTCCGAACGGTGGCGGATATGGCGCCTACTACACTGAGTAAGCGCATGTTTTTTAACGGTAGCCACGGGTGATATTCACATATACTGATGTTGTTATCTGTTGTTATGTGCAGATATGGCTTCAGAGAGAATCTCCGGGCCATCTCCACGTACCTACAAGAACTGCAACGATCGCACTTGCTGGAGTCGCCTTGGATTGGCTTGTCACTAGACGAGAGCACAGACCGAATCCACGGCAAACATCTAATCGTTTACGCTACTTTTTTCCGTGGCACGGGTGTGGTCAACGAGTTCATAACGCTCATCACTGTTGACCGTGCTGATGCAGCCTCTCTGACCTCTGCTGTGGTGCAGTACCTGACAGGGATTGGCTTGGATCTCCAGAAGATCTCTGCCATTTCAACGGACGGCGCTAGTGTCATGACAGGCAAGAACAACGGGGTTGTCGCCCGTCTGCGCATGAGGATCCCGCACCTCGCCTCCACGCACTGTGTCGCTCATCGGTGAGTGTCTCTCCGTGCAGTCGGTGGGAAAGCGATGCACCATTTTTAACTTCATTACCATAACTCGTACTTTGTTTACTTGGCAGGGAGGCTCTAGCCGCAAGCGATGCCGCGGATGCTGTGCCAGAACTATACATGGTTGACGACGTCATCCGTGGCTTTGCAGATCTCATCTCGCGATCCAACGTCAAGTACGAGAAGTTTCATAACATTCAGCATGTTTTCTGCAAGACGAACCTGGAGGCACAAGGGATACACACCGTTCGCTGGCTGTCACGTGGTGAGGCCGTCCGACGCTTCCTCGAGATCCTGCCTGCAGCCATCGTGGTGCTCAAAGAGTACAACAATGACCTGTACGAGATTGCCACGTCGTTCAAGTTTCAGTGGTTGCTCCGGCTGCTTGCTGACGTGTTGTGGGAGCTGAACCATCTGAACCAACGGTTCCAGCAACGGCAGGTAAACGAATCTGAATTTCATAGACTACTTACGCCCAGAAAGGAGTGTCGCTAACCCTGTCTTCTGTGCTGTCTGAACAGATCGACGTCACGCTCGTGTCTCATCTCGTGGACCAGACACGAATGCGCATGAAGAACAGGTACTTAAACTTTTCGCCGGATCATCACTTCGGGAGTGGAGAGAAGATGACACTGAACGACTTCATTCAGCGCCATCAGAAGATGGACAAGCGGGAGGTGAAGGCAGAGGGCGTGGACAGTGACGGCAACCCCGTGAAATTCACCTACACGCTGCACGAGAATCCCATCGAAGGGCAGGAGCCGGACGGAGATGTAACGGCTTGTGTCGAGCTGTCGCTGAAGTTTGTGCGTGCTGTCGACAAGGAGCTGGAGTGGCGGATGAAGGACCTGGAGGAGCTGGAGGGGTGTAAGCTATTTCGGTCAGCCTCATACGTACATGACGACGCCAAACGTGTGGAAAACTTCAAAAAATGGCTGGCTAAACTGCACAAGCTCTACAGGAAGAAGCTTCCAGGTATGCTCGTAGACCTCATGGTGTGTACCTAACTGTTGTTTTCCCGTTCCCTTCAGCGTTGTTTTCCCATCTGCTTCTGCTTTATTCTGACGTAACGATCGGCACACTCTCATATCTTCTCGTCTGGTCGCTTGTGTATCTCCTGGATTGTTTTTTTTAATCCTCCCCCTTCCACCCGATTGCTGCGAGTATAACCCCGTTTAAACCCGTACCCGTACAACAGGATTCGACTACACCAGAGCACAGAGCGAGCTCTGGATGTTCACCTCAACCATGTACTCTCAACACAACAACGAGGACTTTCACCAGGCACTCGGGAACATGCTTCGTGACAACGACTGGCAGCACTCGTTCCCGAACTTGATGAAGATGTGGCAGGCAGTAGCCGTCCTACCGCTGAGCACGGTCGAGTGCGAGAGGGGGTTCAGCAAGCAGAATTTGATCAAGACGTGGGACCGTGGCAGCATTTCGGACATCACCCTGGAGCATTTGATGCGTTGTTCCCTGCTGCAGTATGACGTGGACTGGTACGAGGTGGTGTCCATCTTCAGGGGAGAGAGGCTGCGGAGATCGACTAAGGACTTCAGTGGCACAAACCCGGGCGAGGCTATTTTCGCTGAAGCCGTTGTAGAGTCCTCTGACCCTGTTGGCGAATGAGTAGTAGCTGCAGGTGCTGGAATGTGTGCAAGGGCTTATGTAGCTGGTGCATTGCACATTGTGATTATGTAGTTAATGTAGTGTGAACTCATGGGGTGAAAATAAACTTGCCGGTTAAATCAGTGTAAGGCCAAAATTAGTCTGACGGTTTCAGCGTAACAAAGATTTTACCCTGCCTTCGTCAGGGTAATTTTTTTTTTACCCTAGAGGTCATACTGGTCTACACCTACAACCCTGATTACAAAGTGTGCCCCAAAACGAATCTGAAGCCCTGGTGGTGAATGCATCACTGGCCATCTGTAGATGCCTTTTTTATTTTTTTTCTAGTATAGTTTGATAGTCCAACCTACGATTTGTAGATGAAGAAGTTTAGCGAGCCTCGAAGATGGCCCAACCAATATCCGTTTTACAAAAAGGTGCCGCTTTTGAAATGTACCATTAAAAACAAAAAAACAACAGTGTTTAAATTTTAATTTTCTTTAACATCTCAACAAATGTTGTAGTCTTGCTCTCTCGACAGGCATTGAGCATGAATGTACCTATTTCTGAAAACGACAAAAATCCAGTCGTAGCTGGGAAATTTTAGAAATTGGATTCTGAGCCACCAAACAATGTATTCGCAAGCCAGGCCTTCCAAGGAGCATCTTGTTGGTGTTTGAGCCACGATAGCCAAGCGCTGTCTAGTAGGCAGAAGAAGTTGACAAAGAGCAACTGGTGCTGCACGGGCACAAGCTTGAAGTTGACAGTCTGGATGACGGGCCACACTGTGGCCTCTGTGAGGAACCCCGGGAGGAAGTCGCGGGCGAGGTCGGTGCGGATCTGGTGCAGTGAGTGGCCGGCCACGAGCCCCGTGTACGTGAAGAAGGCTGCCAGGTGCACCGGGCCGAACGCAAACGTGTCCAGAAACAGCTTCGCCGCCACAAACCGCATCGTCGACGGCCGCAGCCCCAGGCGGTTCCTCACAAAGCCCTCCAGCCCCTCGTACCTGCCACACACAGGCACGCGCCGTGCGCCAAGAGCCGTCATCAATGAGGGCCAAGCTTGAAACACTGTGCTGCGAGTTAGGGCTTGCTAACACAGAGAGACAGAGATGTGATACTGCAGTTTCACAGTGTTGCTGGCAAACAGGGTGGTGAGGGACAGTGAGGGGTGGACACAAGGGGGAGGAGGTGAGAGAGACTGCATGATGGGGATGAAGGAGAGGGGTGAAGAGGAATGAAAGGGGGAGGGGAGAGGGGAGCAGTGGGCGAGGGAGCGCGCACCAGTAGTGACCCAGCGGGCCCACGAAACCCGCTCCAAAGAGCGCCGTCGTCACCACGCGCCGGTAGTTCAGCTGCTCGCCCGCCCGCGCTGCCACCGCCCCCGCGCCCGACTCACGGCCACCCGCCACGGGCCCACGCGCGCAGTCCTGCGAGAAAGGGGGGTGCTGTGAGCGGTAGGCGCGAAACTCATGTGTGCGCGAGCGGTGGGATGCAGGTCAAAAAGCTACAGGGCCGACGGCACCCTGGGGCAGCGCCGAGGCGAGAGGGCGCGCGCGGCACGCAGCAAGGGCGTGAATGATATGCGAAACTCTCGGGGATTCACTGGCGCGCAACGCGCTCGAGTGCGCAATGCGCCCGGGACGCAACACGCACGGGCGGGCAAGACGCACGAGCGCGAGAATCGCACGGGCCTGCAAGAGCACGACTAATCAGTCCAACGCACCCGGGCATGGTTGGGCGACGCAGCTCCATCTGCCTGCCGCGACCCCACGTTGAATCGCGCTGCCACGTGTGCATCGGCCACGTGTGCGTCGGCCACGTGTGCGTCGGCCACGTGTGCATCGCCCGCGTGTCGGACAGCCATGTGTCGGTCGATCTGCTGCGCGATGACGTCACCCGACCCCCACAGCACGGTGGACGTGACCACCTGCGTGCGGAGCGGCCGCCGCGACAGCTGCTGTTGGTACCACCCCCAGCACCCGCGCAGCCCGCGCCACGACATGCCGCGCACGCGGAAACGGATCGTGCTGCGGGCGAGAGCGGCCGGGCGCGTGGCAGTCGTGCTAGCAGCGGGAGCGTCCCATCCAGATCGCTCCGCACTCACCCCCCCCCCTACCCCCCGGCGCACTCTACAGCAGCTCTAAATGCACTCGCACCCTAACCAACCTCCCCTCGACGATCCGCGTTTCGCGATGGGCGACGGGCGATGGGCGATGCGACGCGCGATAGGCGATCAGCGGCGGGGGATGAGTGATGAGTGACAACGGAGGAGTGGCGAGCTAACAGCAAGAGGCTATGGGCGATAGATAAGGCGAGGCGAGGGAGCAGACTGGCGGAGAGTGAGTGGTGGTGGTGAGATGGGTCACAGGCTATTGGCTTGAGGTTGTGGGAAGATCTCTAGGTGCTTGGAGGCACAGTAAGGTGGAGACGGACTCTTGCTCATGTTGAGTTTACGAATTCAAACGCTTGCATATGCATTGTGAAAGTCAGTACACTTATACCTTAGGAGATGGATATTGTAAATTAATTTTCCTTCTTCAGTACCAATATTATTTAACGCTACCCATGTGGCACGTCATTTTCTTAACCCTTTCTTGAAGAACAGAGCTCCCACATCTCTGACAGACTCCACAGCTAATGATGCAACTTAATCCCCATGTCCCCCCATTTTCTATAACAACACAGCTGTCTGTCTAGAAGGAACGGTCTATCTAGACATGAGAAGGAACTTGTGTCAGGCCTTGGCAGCGGCACGGTGCTTGATCATCATTTGCACGAAGTCATGGAACACTGCACACCGCACAGGCAAAGCAGAGGCAGTGCAGGAGCAGAGAGGCAAGTGAGCAGATGTCACGTGTGTGTGTGCACATGCATGCAGGACAGGCCAGCAACCAATGCAGCCTGAGATTTAACAAAAGGTGGTGCAATGATGTGCATTGGTGGTGTATCAGCGCACGTAGGATGCATGGGCTGTGCGGTGTGCTGCATGGTTGCTGCATGGGTGCTGCATGGGTGGTGCATGGGTGGTGCAGAGTGGTGGCAGTCTGACCTGGGTCGGCGTCGTGGGGCCCAGGGGAGGACTCGGGGTGGTACTGGATGCTGATGACGTTGAGGGCAGGGTACGCCAGCCCCGCACACGTGCCGTCGTTGAGGTTGATGTGCGTCACCTGCACGCCCTCCGGCAGACTCTCCGGGTCCACCGCGTAGTTGTGGTTCTGCTACCACACCGCACCGCCGCACACACCACACCACACAGAAATGACAACGTCAGATGCATCCAAATACGTGCCTCCCTGCATGCGCCAGGGAAGCGTATATACAGCCAAGCTCGCACACACCTGCATGCACATGTCTGTGCCCCACACCGTCCGCACACCCCCCCAATTCCCCCCTCCGCTCTCCACCCACACCCCCCCATTCCCCGGCACGGACCTGCGCGCTGATCTCGACACGGCCGGAGGCGAGGTGGCGCACGGGGTGGTTGCCGCCATGGTGGCCGAACTTGAGCTTGAAGGTGCGCCCGCCCAGCGCCTGCCCCAGCAGCTGGTGCCCCATGCAGATGCCCAGCGCCGGCACCGTGCCCACCACCGCGCGCACACTCTCCACCGCGTACGGCACCGCTGATGGGTCGCCCGGCCCGTTGCTGCACGTTGGCAGGGGAGCGGAGGGCGGTGGAGCAGAGGTGGAGGGGGGTGGTGGTGAGAGTGACGAGGAGTGCGATTGGGCGAGGGTGAGGAAGAGAGGGCAGGCGGGAGACGAAGGGCACGGATACGAGGGAGGGCGCGAGAGGCAGGTGGTGGGGAAAGCAGGGAGCGCACCTGAAGCAGTGAAGCGGATACACCTCAAGAAGCGCACCTGAAGAGGACGCCATCGGGGTTGAGCTTGGCGAGGTCCTCAGGCGGGTAGGTGGAGGGCACCACTGTGATGCGACAGCCGTATGATGCCAGGCGCCGCAGAATGTTGTGCTTTATGCCAAAGTCATACGCCACCACCTGCGGGGGTTAGAAAGGGGGGATGGGGGGTGTGATGCATGAAGGGGAAGAGCTGACTCGCGTGGAAGGCGTTGACTCGCGTGGAAGGCGTTGACTCGCGTGGAAGGCGTTGACTCGCGTGGAATGCGTTGACTCGCGTGGAATGCGTTGACTCGCGTGGAAGGCGTTGACTCGCGTGGAAGGCGTTGACTCGCGTGGAATGCGTTGACTCGCGTGGAAGGCGTTGACTCGCGTGGAATGCGTTGACTCGCGTGGAATGCGTTGACTCACATGGAATGCGTTGACTTGACTCACATGGAATGCGTTGACTCACATGGAAGGCGTTGACTCACATGGAAGGCGTTGACTCACATGGAAGGCGTTGACTCACATGCAATGCGTTGACTCACATGCAATGCGTTGACTCACATGCAATGCGTTGACTTGACTCACATGGAATGCGTTGGCCATGGAGACCTCCTTGGCGTCGCTGCTGAACTCCCACTCGCCCGTGGGGTCCACCCACACGTACGGCTGCTCACACGTCACCCCCGTTATCAGATCCTTGCCTGTGAGCCCATGCACAGCATAAGCACACATGCATAAGCACACACCAAGGCACAGAGCGAGGACATTGCACTCAGTTGTTCCATGCTTTATATGCCCCATGTTTCATCAGTGCATACTGCCATAAGTGCATACTGCCATGAGTGCATGCTGCCATGCCACGAGGTGCGTGCTGCCATGCCACGAGGTGCGTGCATGCTACCATCACCAATGGAGGGGCGGCTCACCAACAATGCTGTAGGAGCGAGCCATCTCCACCAGCTCCTCGTCCGACTTCTTGCGGTCCGTTGAGATCACACCTGCCAGGGTCACCACGCACATGGTCAGACGCACATAGAGGTCGCATTGTTACAAGGCAGGTACGGCACCACAATGTATCCATGCGCATCATGCACAGAGCACCACCAAACCTTATGCTTCGCGCACCATGAACCATGCAACACCCACCACACACCATGCATGTGTTGCTGTCTTGCAGATTGTGCATCATGCACCATGCACCCTCCATCCTGCCCCCTCTAACAGCTCAAGCTGCCCCTCTCACCGTTCAAGCTGCCCCTCTCACCGTTCAAGCTGCCCCTCTCACCGTTCAAGCTGCCCCTCTCACCGTTCAAGCTGCCCCTCTCACCGTTCAAGCTGCCCCTCTCACCGTTCAAGCTGCCCCTCTCACCGTTCAAGCTGCCCCTCTCACCGTTCAAGCTGCCCCTCTCACCGTTCAAGCTGCCCCTCTCACCGTTCAAGCTGCCCCTCTCACCGTTCAGGCTGCCCCTCTCACCGTTCAGGCTGCCCCTCTCACCGTTCAGGCTGCCCCTCTCACCGTTCAGGCTGCCCTTGTCGCGCAGTCGCTTGGTGATGGCGCGCGTGTCGATGTCCGCTGCACGGGGGTTGAAGGGTTGGGGGTGGGGTTGGAGAATTGAAGGATAGGGAATGGATATGGTGGTTAGGGGGCGTGGGGATGAATGACGGTAACGGATGGTGAGGTGTGGGTGCGGGCAAGTGGCACGTGATAACGGGTGCTGTGCTGCCCCTCACTCCCTCTCCCTCACTGCCCTCGTCGTAACTCACAGATGCCCATCATGTTGTGTTGCCGCAGGTAGTCCGGCAGAGTCTGCGACGACCGCCAGTTCGACACGCTGGGGAGCGCCGAGGGAACGAGCGCGGGAGGGGAGGGGAACAGGGGGCGGGGCGGGAGCAGAAGGCGTCGGTCCGCTGCATTGCGTGGTACAACGGCGAATGCGACTGTGGGCGTGCGATTATGACGCTGCGCCTGCATTTGAATGTGCGCCTGTGAGTGCACCTGTGGAAATCTGCCTGTCGACGTGTGACTCTGGAAATGTGACTGGGGGAATGTGACTGGGAATGTGACTGGGAATGTGACTGGGAATGTGACTGGGAATGTGACTGGGAATGTGACTGGGAATGTGACTGGGAATGTGACTGGGAATGTGACTGGGAATGTGACTGGGAATGTGACTGGGAATGTGACTGGGAATGTGACTGGGAATGTGACTGGGAATGTGACTGGGAATGTGACTGGGAATGTGACTGGGAATGTGACTGGGAATGTGACTGGGGGAATGTGACTGGGGGAATGTGACTGGGGGAATGTGACTGTGGGAATGTGACTGGGAGTGCACTGCATTGGAATTGCGTAGCTTCAAACGCGCGCGCGCACACACACCCACATTCCCCCCCCAACCCCACACAGGACAGCGGCGACGGCGCGGCACGGAGAAGGCGGCTCACCAGTTGCTGATGCTGCGCACGACGAGCCCCGACGTGAAGCACGTGCGCGACTCCTCGTCCTCTGCGCGCCACCGCGGCGAGGGGGGGAGGAGGGGGGAAGGGAGAGGACATGGGAGTGTAAGGGGGCGGGGCGCGGGATGTGCGCGATGATTGCCGGCGCAGTGACGACACGGGCGGAGCGAGAGGCAGGGAGAAAGTTGACAGACAGGGACGGGGGGAAACAGAGCAGAAGCAGAAAAGCGGGTGGCGGGGCGCGGGGAGCGGGCGGACCTTCGTTGATGCCGGTGTTGCCGATGTGCGGGCAGGTCATGAGCACGATCTGCCCGGCGTAGCTGGGGTCGGTGATGATCTCCTGGTACCCCGTCAGCGACGTGTTGAACACCACCTCCGCTGCCTGCGTGCCGCGCGCGCCGAATGACGACCCCTTCCACACCGACCCGTCCTCCAGCGCCAGCCGCGCGTCCGCCGCCCGCCACGGCCGCTCCACGTCCGCCGCTGCTCCGCGCACCGGGGGGAAGGGAGAGTGGGGTCGGGAGAGGTGAGCACGGGTGCAGGAGGAGAGGAGGTCCGAAGGCGGTGGGGAAGGGGGTGATGACGCTCGCGGGGAAGGGGGCTTCTTGGAAAAAGCGGTGGCATCGTGGGACATGGCAGCGCGCTTCGAGGATGGCTGTCATGCCCCCTCGCGACGATAGTCAACAATGCGGGCGCGATCTTTAGGGGCGCGCGCCATTTACGATGAGGCGGCTGAAGGTGCAACGAGCAGAAGCAGCGAGCGATGAGTTACTGATGCTGGCGGAGATGGAGGCACAATGGTGGGTTACTCGTGGATCGCCGCGACTCACCGACGCTGGCGCGAACGACGGTCGCTGAAGCCGCGCGCTTGGATGGCAATGCGACGCCCTTCGATGTGGCGGCGACCCCCAGGGACTGCCCCAGCTGCGCGGAGGCGCACCACCCCAGCGCTGCCTGCTTGCCGCCACATTCGCTGGCCTTGATGGCGTCCCCCGCCCTAGCGACGGGCGCGAGGCCTGGCTGCGCCAGGTGAAGCGCGCTTAGTCTGACAGCCGCCATGGCGCCGATCGGATCGAGCGACGAGGAGGATCGGAAGACGAGGGCACACTGCGCTCCCTTGGTTTGCTGCAGCGATCGCAGATCAAGTCTCAAGGAATATTGATGATGTACGTCGTGATCACGCCACAAGCAGCTGTTATTTGCCTTGTGTTGCTCTCAGCAATGGTGGGAGCTTCAACACACACAAATGCTCTCGTGAGAGGGGCAACTGGAATGGGTGTGGGGGAGGAAATGCGCGGGTTCTGGGGGGACTTCCACTCTCACTGACTAACCACGTGACGCTGATTTGGCAGCGCTGGCTAGGAAGCGGCGCCGGTTGGTCCCTTGGATGGAATCTGAGGTAAGAGCAAGGCCGCAGAAAGTAACGCGTGGCAGTGCACCATGAAAAAACAACCAATCATATGCGATGGGCAGCCGAACTGTGTGGTGTGTCTCGGGCAAAGGGAAAAGTGGCACAATACACCGCCGCAAAAACATTTTCCCTTCCTCTGAAACTGAGGGCAGGGCAGGAGTGCCCGTAGTTCCCCTTCGGCCACAATTTCAAGGGGCGAAGCGAATGGGGTGTGGAGACTGACTTTCCCCATCAAAGCAAGGTGAAGCGAGAGATGGCTGAAAAATGTTACACCAAACCTGCAAGTCGTCACCGTCGCTACACGTTACTCCGTCGCTAATTTACAGCACCTTTCGCCGCAGCCAGCAAACGCGAACTTGATGTGCTTGGAAGGGGTCCTTGGAGCCCACCAGCTGTACACATAGGTCTAAAGGAGTTGCGAGTTGTAAAAACTCATCGAGTTATGTGTAGATCTTGTTATCACATCCTTGTGGATTTTATCGAGTATAATCAAAGAGGGAACTGTTAGTAGCCGTATTCGCAGACCTGCTGTGGACAAGCAGATAGAACAAATCTTGAAGGCGCGTAAACACCAGCACCTGCGACAGTAGGCCAAGGCGCGCGATGCGGGAAGTGGTGACTCTTCAGTTCGGCAGCTACGCCAACTTCGTCGGCGCTCACTTCTGGAACCTGCAGGTGCGCCTTCCACCATGCGCCATGCCTCCTTTATTGCGCCCATGCCTCCCCGATTGCGCCTCCCCGATTTTCTGAAACCCCGCCGTCCGCGCATCTTCACGCCCTTCCTGCGTCCCTCCCTCCGTTCCTCCTCGTTTAGCTCTTCCTTCAAGCCCCACCCAGGCCCTCTTTTCCCCAATTCCCCTTCCTCGCGCGCCTCTCGCTCGGCCTCCCGGTGTGCGCCGTATCCGCGCGAGAATCGTCTTCCAACCTCCCAATCTCACACCCCGCGCCTCCTTCCCCCACCTGCCTCCGTCCTAGCTAGCTGCGTCGCCATGCGCAAGTGACCTCGGAGAACCGACCGCACCTTCTCCCCTCGCCCTCCCTCTCCCCCTCCCCATCCCCCTCCCCCTCCCCCTCTCCCCTCCCCCCCCGCCCCACTCCTTGCGTCGCGTGCAAGCCGGCAGTGAACATCCGTTCCGTTATCAAAGCACCGCTTTCCTCCCCCACGCCACCTGCTCTTCTTCCCCCCTCCTTGCAGGATGAGGCGATGGGGCGGCAGGGCGAGGGGGGCGCGGAGCAGAATGGAGCAGGCGTAGAGGAGAGCGTGGTGATGCAGTGGCGCGAGACGCCAGGGCCTGCCGTACGCCGTGGGTGGGCGGGATGTGGGGTGGCGGGAGGGAGGGCGGTGGGCATGGCGGCAGGGGAGGGTGGTGGGGTTGTGGATAAGCAGAGGGGCGTATGATTGCGTAGGGGGTTGCCAAGGCAATTTTCTCTCTGCGCTCCTGCTGCGCTGTCAATCCGCCCTCCCTCTAGTTGTCTCACCAACGCCCTCTCCCGTCTCTCCATCCCCCTCACTCTGTACTCTCCCATGCCGCTCGCTCGCCTTACTCTCTCGCCTCGCTCTCTGTACTCCATCATTCCCTCCCTCACCCCTCCCCCTTCCGCACCGTCCCCCTCAGTCCACGCCATACTGCACGCCTCGCCTGCTCGCCATTGACTATAAAGGTCCGCTCCACCCCTTGTGTTGCACACCGTCATGCCCATCCTTCTTCCCACCATTTTTCTTTCTACTCTTCCACGTATCCCTCTTGTGCCCCGACTTCTCGTTCCTGTCTATCATTTTCCACCTGTCCTGCATCCTTCGTCACGTCGCCTGCCCTGCATCGCCCCAACGCTCTCCGACTCTGCTTCTCTTTTGTGTGCTGCAGGCTGCCTTGGCCCCGTCTCCCTCGCCTCGCCTCTCGATGGCCACGGGGGCATCGCCACTGCACCGTCTGCCATGCCTACCTGGTGAGCCAGCCTACTCACGCTGCCTCTGTGCCTCTTCCCCCATGCACGTGCATGCCTGTCATGCCCCCTGCAACCTCACTCCCCCACCCACCTCCATTCACCATCTGCTTCTCTCTCCCGCTCTCTTTTGTACGCCCCCCATTCCCACACCCCTGCTGCTCCCCTCACCCCACATCCTTCAATCCCCCGTCTCCCCCCTTTCAACAGGTCTGGCCCCTCCCATGTCTCGTCGGCCGCGCCTCTCCCCCTCAACCCCTTCCTGCGCCGCCTGCTGCACCCACCCGCACCCGCCGCTCACACAGCCTCTTCCGCACCTGCTTCCCAGGCCAGGGGAGAGGAACGGCACGAGGCCGCAGGCAGGCACGGTGGGGGGGAGCCGCGAGAGGAGGCAGAGGGGGGGGCGGAAGGGGGGGAAGAGGAGGAGGCGGAGGTGGCGCGGGGGTTGGAGGGCGGCGTGGGGTACTGGACGGAGTACCTCAAAGCGCACGTGCGCCCCGCCAGTGTGCTGCAGCTGCCGGGCGGGTGGTGGCAGGGCGCGCTCTCCCCCCTGGACGCGGGGGGGTATGGCGACTGGCGCGAGGTGGGGGGCGGGCGGGAGGGAGAGGAGGAGGTGGAGGAGGGGGTGAGGCGGGTGGTGGAGGAGTGTGATGCGCTGCAGGGCTTCTCCCTGCTGCTGCACGCCGCCTCGCCCTTTGCCTCCCTCGCCACGCGCACGGCACTGCACCTGGCCGCGGAGTTCCCAAGGGCGCCCAAGCTCCTCTTCTCCCTGCGCCCCCCTGACGCCCTCCTCCCGCCCGCCACCCTCGCCCCCGGCCCCCATGCCCTGCCTGGCACGCCCTCGCTGCACGACCTCTCGTCTGCCGTCTCCCTCGCCTCGCTGCTGCCCCTCACCTCCCTCATTCTGCCGCTCGGCCTGCCCTTCCTCTCCGGTGCGTGCCCCTGTTGCCCTGCTGATATGCTGCTCTGATTGTGTCTGCTGCAGTTTCCGATGCTGCCGCATGTTGATACTCCCACATACATAAGTCACCCTCCACTCCACATGTCCCACATGAGTGTCCTTACTCTCAGATATGCCAGGTGTGCTTGTGAACCGCTGATGTCGTGACACCTCTCTCATTCCACCCCTGTGGCCTGCCCCACCCCTCTATCCCCCCTCCCCCACCAGCTGTGCTGCCCCACGTGCATCCCAGCGACACCGCTCTCTTCCACTCCTCTGCTCTCCTCGCCACCGCCATTGACGCCCTCTCCTCGCCCTTCCGCCTCGCCCCGCGCGCCCCCGCCTGCGCCTCCTCCCCCGTGGGCGCCGTGTCCCTGAGGGACTACTGCGCCCTGCTCTCCCTCTCCTCGCCACATGGCGCCCTCGCATTCGCCTCCTTGGCCCTGCCAGCTCAGCCGCTGCACGAGGCAGGGGAGCAGGAGGCGGCGAGTGGAAGCTCGCCATGTGGCATGGCGGTGCTGACGTCAGACGTGTGCAGCAGCGGAGAGGGGCGAGGAGGGAGGGGAGGAGGCAGTAGGGGAGGGCAGCGAGGCGAGGGGATGGGGCAGCAGCAGGAGGGGGAGGAGGTGGAGGATTTGGAAGCAGGCATTCGTGCACAGGTGGTGGTGGCACGTGGTGCAGTGGGGCAGCAAGCTACAGGTGCAGAGGGTGGGTGGGAGTGGGGCAGGTGAGGGTGGGTATGGATGCGAGGTAGTGAGGAGAGACTGCTGGCAGTGAAGAGGGAAGAACAAAGTATGATGGGGGTTGGAGGGGGCATGGTGAGAGCAAGTGTGGGTGGTGCATGGGCAGGGCAAATGAGTGTGCTGTGCATCCCTCGCTCACTGCACCTCCTCATCTTCATTCACTGCACCCCCCTTTTCCCCTCCCCTCTCCTCTCCCCCTCTCCCCCCCTCCCACATGCCTCCAGGCCACACCAGCACTGTCCTCACACCGCTGCCACCAGCCACAGCAGCAGCAGCCATCCACCGGGCCCTCCTCGCCGCCCGCCCTCGCCTCGCCCCGCCCTGCATCGCCCACATTGCCGCCTCCCAGCAGCCCCTCGCCATCCCCCTGCCCTTCCCCCGCTTCTTCTCTGCTGACGTCAGCAAATACGGCCTCATCCTTCCGCCCTCCCGGCACCGTGCCAGCCGTGTTGCTTCCCTGGCAGGCGGAGCAGCAGCAGCAGCAGTGGCGGGTGGAGTGGGAGGGGGGTCGGGAGGCGGGAGTGGGGTGGGAATGGGACCGGATGTGGAGTGGGCGCCAGTGGTGGCACGGGCAGCAGCAGGGAGGGGTGGGGCGCGGCACGGGGAGGTGCTTGCCGGTGCGCTGGAGTGGGTGGGGGGGGCACGGGGAGGGGCGGGCAGGCAGGTGGTGGCGGCGTGGGGGGTGGAGGGCGAGGACGTGCATGAGATGCGCGAGCGCGTGATGGATGTGTGTGGTAAGCTGAGAGGGGAGAGCTGTGAGGATGACAGTGACTGAGGCATGGTTCATTGATGGGATCCATGTGCCATGCCACATGTTGGGTGCTTCTCATGGGCTGCACATGCCATCATGCATACGACCAGTCGCCAGTGTGTATGTGGTCGCAAGGATACACAATTGTTGCTTGCAGTGTGTTCTTCACCCCTCATGTGCAAGTCTAGAGCCAGGCTTTCACGTTTTCAACACATATTGTTCTAGCAAGTATAGTAGCCTAACAGAGCTCAGCAATACTAATACAGAACAGAAGCACTCGTCCATACTAGTGTCAATGAAGCTTGTCTGTCCGCTATTGCACTCTGCCTCTTGAGACGTCTCAAAAGCTTGTCTGTCCGCTATTGCACTCTGCCTCTTGCTGCCACAGCAGCCGCTGTGTCCTGCTGCTCCTCCAGTGTCCCCCTGATCCACCGCACTGCCCTTCATTCACCGCCACCACCTGCTCACCGCCTGCCCTCACTCCCAGTCATCCACATCAATCTCCTCTTCCTCCTCCTCGCTGTCAGGGGGCAGCAGCGCCAGCACCACTCGCCCCACCACAGCCTCCCCTGCCTCCGACCCATACCGCTCCGCCACCTCCCCCCCCGCCACCACCACCAGCCCCCTCTCCCCGCCCCTCTCCGCATCCCTCACCACATAGTAGTGCCCGCCCTCCACCGCACTGCCCTCCCCCCACGCGCCCTGCACCACCACCAGCACCGCGCCATCCCCCTGCCGTGCCTGCAGGGGCGGCAGCAGGGAGGGCGAAGGCAGCAGCAGCGCCAGCAGCGCGGGCACGCCCCGCAGGGCGGGCCACGAGGGCAGCGCCACCCACGGGAGCCCGGGCGCGGGGGAGAAGAGGCGGAAGGGGCCCTGCGGGGGTGGCAGCACGGGCAGGTGCTGCAGGTCCGCAGCACAGGTCACCACGGGCATGGGCGTCGCCTGGGTCTCAGCGCTGCGCAGCCGTGCCACTGGCAGGGAGGGGGGAGTGGCGGTGGTGGCGGCACCGGGGCCAGTGGCGTGGGCGGCGGCGTGGGCGGGCGGCGCGGCGTTGGGGTTGCGGCAGCGGTGCAGTGCGGTGGAGATGAAGGCCCGGGCGGCGTCGGTCGTAGCCACCTGCTCCGCCCTGACTAGCGCTGCCTCTCGCTCGGCGCAGCTCCTCGCCTCCCCGCTCTGGCGGTACGAGGCGAACGCCAGACAGTCTCCCGGCTCCGCACTGTGCCGCGGGATGGGGGCGAGGGGGGGAGGATGGTGGGGAAGGGGTGATAGGGGAGGGGGGATGGGCTAGGGTGAACTGGAGGGGAGGGGAATTGGTGCGAACGGGAGGTGAGGAGCAGCGTGAACCAATGGGTTGGGAGAGAGGAAGGTGAGGCAAGGTGCGCGGAAGAAGGGGAGATATCGCAATGCGGGGGGTTTCAGCCAGGATTCAGGGTTCACGGCAGCACGACCTGCCCACCTGAAGTGGCTGCGGTCCGCCTCTCTCTTGCGCCGCTCGTACTCCTTGATCGCGCGCGCCACGTCCCGCGCACCCTTCCCGTCCAGCCCCTCGCGCGCAACGTACTCCGCCGCCTCCTTCCGCTGCGCGCCCGCCAGCACGCGCAGCTCGTACAGCGCCTCCGCGCCGCCCACGTCAAAGAACGCGAGCAGCGCGGGCTCCATCTGCGCGGCGCTCAGCGTCGCGCGCACCTGCGCCGCCGTGGTGACGGCGCTCTGCTCCACGCCCGTCATGCCCGTCGCCTCCGCGATCGCCGCCGGCGACAGCCCCTGCCGCCCCAGCGCGCCGATGGCGGGCGCGTACTCGTACCACAGCCCGCGGCGCTCGCGCACGACCTCTAGCAGCTCCTCTACCGACCCCAGCCCCTCCTCCGCCGCGCGCTCCGCCGGCTTTAGAAACGGCAGGTACATCCCCCCGCTCCCGGAACCGCCGCCGGTACCGCCGGGGCTGGACGAGAGCGGCTGGCCGTTGAGGCCGATGAGGCCCTGTCCCTTGGGTAAGCCGCCGCCGCCGCCCGATGCGCGCGCGCGGAGGGGCGGAAGACGATGCGCGCGGCGGGAGGCGGTGTTGGCACGACCGAGAGGCGCGCGCGAGAGGTGCGCGGGGCTGAGGGAGTGGCGCACTAAGTGCGGCCTGAGCGCTGCGGCGTCCATTGCGGTCGGCGACAGGCGAGGCGCGGGGAATGCGGCCGCGAGGATGGGATGGGAGGGGAGAGTGGAAGAGAGAGAACGAATAAGAGAGGGAGCGAGGGTGGATGGATGGTAGCAGGAATCGCTCTGCACGTGGATGCTACACGCGCGTGTGTGTGTGTTGGAGAGGAAGGGGAATGGATCTAAGGGGTTGAGGGTTATGCACAAATGTGAGCACGTCAAATTGCACTCTCATTTCAACAACACGCAGCACCACACTCCCAAGTATGCTTGTACCATCACTCTTGTTCTTCCCTCTCTCCCTCCCGCGCCCTGCCCGTGCACCCTAGTATTCGCAAGCGTCCTTATTCCCGCCCCTTGTGTGTGCTGCGAGCGTGACTGTCGGCCCCTGGCCTGGCCTGCTCACCCGCGTCCATCCGTCCCGCTGCCTCCTGCCTCGACTGTGCGCCTCGGCGGGCCTCCGCGCATTCCGCCAACGCGGATTACCGCGTCCCTCCGCGCAACCCTCGGCGCCAGCATGAGCACCAAGCGTCCCCGCACAGGTCGGTCCGCTGTCGCGCTGCTTCCCGTCGCCGCTCCGCTTCCGCGTGCTCCGCGCAGGTCCAATCCCCTCGCGTGCTTTTCCTCGCTCACCCTCTTCCTCTCTCCGCCTTTCTGCGCAGACGCGAGCGGCGACGGCGACTGGACGTGCCCGGCGTGCGGCAACGTCAACTTCTCCTTCCGCACGTCCTGCAACATGCGCAAGTGCGGCGCGCCCAAACCCGCCCCCGGCCCGTCGCTGATGCAGCCGCTACCGCAGTACTCAGTAAGCCCCCCTCGTGATCCCGCCGCCTTCCCGCTCGTGTCGCTTCCGAGCGCGTTCCCCGCTGCGCTGCACCCGCGCCGCTCTGTCTTTGCGTGCCCCAGTCCCCTCGCCGTGTGCCGTCCCTCCACTGCCTGCTCCCCTTCGAGCTCTCCCCCCGCCCTTCCCCGTCCGATCGTCCTATCAACCCCTTCCATCCCTCTCTGTGTCCCCGCTCTCCTCTCCCCCCTCCCCTCCCTCCCCCGACAGCACGCGCCGTCGCAGGCGGCGGCCCCCATGCCGGGGGATCCGGGCGCGCCCATGCACGGCATGCACGCGATGCCGCCCATGCAGCCGCTCGGCGCTCCCTACATGCCCGCCATGCCCCCCGCGCACTACACCCCGTACCCCCCCATGCCTTCCCCCGCGCCAATGTACGGGGCAACCGCCATGCCTTCGCCCTATGACCCCTCCGCGCACCTCGCGCCGCCCTACATGCCGCAGGCCATGCCCCACATGCCTATGCCGCCAGGTGAGTCTCCCCCTCCGCCCTGCCCTGCCCTGCCCTGCCCTGCCCTGCCCTCTCTCGTTATCCTCGCTCCGCCTAGTGCTTTCCCCCCGGCGCCTCTGTACCGTCTCCCTTATCTCACACCCTCTCCCCTCCCCCTGCCCCTCCCCGCCCCCTCCCTCCCCCTGGCCGCGGGGCCCCAGCGCACGCGTTCGCGCCCTTCCCCATGGACGCCTACCGCCCCATGCCGCCTGTGAGCCGCCCTCGCTGCTTCCCCCGCCCCGCTCTCGCCTCCCCTTGTCACTCTCTGCCCTCGCCCCCCCGCGCCCGCCCTCGCCACCCTTGCTGTCCTCTATGCCGCCCAGTTTTTATCCTTGGCCTCTCGCTGATTCGTCCCTCTCTCCCCCTCCCCCTCTCCCTCCCCCTCCCCCCCTGGTAGCCGGGCATGCAGCAGCGGCAAGGGGAGGGGGCGGACGGGCGGAAGCGGAGGGGGGGACCGGAGGGGAGTGGGGAGGGCGACTGGGTGTGTTTCAAGTGCGGCAACACCAACTTCTCCTTCCGCACGCACTGCAACATGCGCAAATGCAACGAGCCAAGGCCCCCTGCCACGCCCCTGCCTCCTACTCTCTATGTGCGCTCGCCGCCTCCCCTCCCCCTCCCTCTCTCCTCTCCCTGCCCTCCTTCTACTCTCTTCCACTCCTCCCTCTTTATGTCTCCTCAACTTCTCTCCTCCTCTCCTCTACTCTCCTTCTCTCATCACCTCCCGCACACCCTGCTGTGCCCCTCATCTCGTCCGTGCGTCGCAGCAACCAAGCGCACCTGTGCTGGGATGCTCATTGTCATGCTTACATGGGTTTCAACCCCCTTCGGCATTTTGCTGTCTAATTTTTGCTTCATGCACTCCCTCCCCTCCCCTCCCCTCCCCTCCCCTCCCCGTCCCGTCCCTGCACATCAACCCCTCCTCGCCCGCCTCCAACCTGCCGGCGCCCTGTGTCTGCCTTGGCCATGCCACAGCTGCACCCCGCTGCTCCCGCGCCCCTGCCTGCTCACCCGCCACGTGAGTCCCCTGCTGCGCTGCGCCTCTCCCCATGTCCCCCATCCCCCCCCCTCTCACCGTGCAGCCACCACGGCTTCCTCTCACCACCTCCACCACCATGCACCTCTCGCTCTCTCTCGCCCCACCCCACTCGCCGCCATATCACTCACCTCCCCTCACTCTCTCCATTTATTCATACCTCTTTTTTTTTGTCTTCAGGCATGCACCCATTCTCCTCACCTCCTGTATCTGCCCTTCCAACCCCTCCCCCCCACCCCCTGTCCCATCTGCCCGGCTTGGGAGAGGGCAGGCGTGCAGGCAGCAGCGCCGGACGGCAGTTGGGCGTGCAGTGAGTGCGGGAACGTGAACTACCCCTTCCGCTCGCACTGCAACCGCCGCCACTGCGGCCGTCCACGGCCCACGCACGACACCGCTGCTGCTGCCAGCACCGGAGGGGGAGATGCCGCTGCTGCTGTAAAACAGGAGGTATGCCCCCCGGGGTTACGAACCAGAGCCATTCAGGAGGTGATGTGACGGAACCTGCCGTCTCTCCACTCGTGATCGCTGCCGCCAACAGAAACCTTTTCCTGCCATCTCCCAACTCAACTGCCTCTTGTGTTTTCAGTGTTGATCCCTCTCGTTGTAATGTGCGCTGATTTTCTGCCTTTGGAACCTCACTCACGCTCCTTGGGGCTGCCATGGAGGCGTTTTCTCTATTGAAGCAGGAAGACTAAGTTCTTCTTTTGCTGCCACTGGACTGTCAACTTTCATGTATTCTTGCAGTAACGCCGGCAGCATCAGGAGGTCAAGATGAGCAGACGATGTGAGTATGTGTCTTCACATAACAACCCTTGTTTTTATCATTCAACCACCACTTTAAACGGCCGTATTGCCTGGGCCTCGTTTTCAGGCTTGCAGGTAAGTGTAGTTGTTTTTCCACTCCATGCACTGCATTGCTGCTGTGCTTCGCCACTTCTCCCCACCCTGACGGCCGTGTCCTCCTTGGTCCTGTCGTCTGTCTGTCTGTCTACTTTCTGTGTGCCGTCTGTCCGCCTGTCTGTCTGTCGTTTTGTCTGTCTGTCTGTCTGTCTGTGTCTGTCTTTCCGTCTGTCTGTGTCTGTCAGGGTCACATGCTGCTGCTGTCAGGCAGCTCGGGTCTCGCTGTGCTCTCACCCCCAGCCCAGCCATGGCACCAAGGGGCCGCTTGGGAAATTCTTTCCTGTCATGGTTGCACCTAGTGTAACGTCAGCCACCACCGTCGTCGCAACCGCCACCGCATTTGCCTCATCCTGTCCCATACCCTGGGTTCTCACTGGTTTGGTCAGAGTGGCTGAATAGTTGACAATTATGTAAAGTGTGTGGGCGCCTTAGATTAAGAGTGTTTTTGCTTGCAGATGAACCTGCTGCCGATTGAACTCAAAATTAGTAAAGTAAGATTTACCATGTACTGGAATTGAATCCTTAACATGCCAATTGCTTTTTGGTGTTACAAAAACGGTTTTTCCCTAAACTGTCTTGTAGTGTGCAACTGGCAGGCCACAGAACAAGGATTGTGATGAGTGCTTACTGTTCTGCCATCCACAAGAGTGTATGTGATTGGACTCAAGTTATTCAAGAGAGTGAGGTCTCCGTTGGTTGGCTGCTCGGCAAATTAAAACAGTGCATGGCCGAAGCTTTCTGTTAACGGCAGCTTCCACCGAACGACGTGTTGATTGGTCGGAGCTAGGGCCAAAACTGCCTACAACAAGCGGGCTGGCCTGGTTTGGGTGGGCTTGTTTGTTCTGTGCTCTTGGGGGGGAGTGGGACAAAGGGATTGGGTGGATGGATGGGCACGCGATGGGGTTGCGTTGTGTTGCGATTCGACCTGACGATGTGATTGGATGTGGATGCGCGGATGATCTTGGTCCTTCACTGCAATCCCCCTGCGGCGGATGATGATGCCCACAGCCCTCCGCTGCAATCCCCTGCAATCGGCAGGGCTCGGTCAGATCAGGTGGGGTTCGGCCGACCGACCCTCTGCAAATCCAATTACAGTACAGAAGTGGGGGGACAGAGCAGCCCTAGTGTTTTCAAATTCAGAGACACCCCAACTGGTGTGACGTTTCGGGCGAGAAACGAGGCTTTGACAGATATTCTCGTGACGAGGTGGCCAGGGTGGGGGTGGTCATGTTGTTCAGTTCACCACTTCACTAGTTGCTCGGGTCAGGAGGAACAACGGAGGGGTGTTTTGGTTTGCAGGCTCAACAGAAACTGTAGTCAGTAACATGTGCTGGAGATTACAGCACAGCTTCAGTGTGAGCAGAGCAGATGCACTTGAAGGGAGCGTGAAACCATTTTCATACGGTGAAATGCGCCTGATTTGATCTGATTACGCCGGACTCTTGCTCAGCAAAGGGAATTTTGGGAAATATCACTCTCTCAGTCCGTGATATTCGTGGTAGGCTTCCTGACGAAGGAGCTACAGAGTCATTAGTTTTTCCAGCACCATTTATGGCGGTGGTAGAGCTGTGCCACAGGTGTACGTATGAACGAGGGTTCCTGGGTTCCTCAGTAGACTTTGAACAGAGCTAGTGTCTGAGACATCTTTAACAGTAGACTCTGAACAGAGCTATCTTGCTGCTAGGGTTGGTGGTAACGTTTCAACTGAAAGGGATGCTAACGATTGCTCACTAACTAAAAGTTCAAAACCTTCGCTGCCGCCATAGCATTTTCCGAACCACTTGAATGAACCCCAGCACAAACATAAGACCCATTGGAAAAAGAAACTATATTTTCTTGGCACAATAAATGACGACCCGTCTGCCGTCATCGGAGGACGAGGAGAGTGCACCGCCGCTGCGGGTGCAGATAGCGATGAACATGGACGCCATGGTTTCGCAGCTGCGCCACGACTCGTCCGAGGACGCCCTCTCGCGCCTCCCCGACGCCGCCCTGCTCCAACAGTCCGTCGCCGCCGCGCGATTCACGGAAATAATGGCCGCTGCTTCGATGGGTGCGCGTGATGCAGCGATAGACGTTGATTCTCAAGGGCCACCGTCGATTGTGGTAGATCCGCAGCATTCCCAGCCTCAACGCCCTGGCCACGACCCCTTGCGTGCTGCACCGCACTCCGCCGCGCGAGCGACGGGTGTGATTGGCAGGAGCGGTGCTACTGACCGTCGTGTAGTAGAAAGCGTGGAAATAGGCGTGATGGGCCAAAGTGAAATGGCGGCGAGTCCTCCTGGGCTGATGCCGCACAACGCGGCGAGTGGAAATGGCGAAGAGCTGTTCAACCAAATGCTCCTGACGCAGCGGCAAGTGTGGCAGCAGCAGCAGCGGCGGCAGTGGCAGCAAGAGCAAGCGCAGCAGGAGAGAACAATGGAGCAGCAGCTCTTTCTGTTGCAGCAGCAACAACAATGGCAGCAGCAACTCTTGCTTTCACAAAATGCAGTAACTCAACATGACCAGACCCTGATACTGCGACAAATGACAACTGGACTTCACGTGACACCTGGACACCAAATGACAGCTGGATTTCATATGCCAGCTGGACTTCAAATGACAGCCCAACATCAAATGACATCCGGATATCAGATGACACACCAAATGACAGTTGGGCATCAAATGCCAGCTGTACATCCGACAGCTGGACATCAGATGACATCTGGACATCAATCAACAGCAGGACGGCCAGTGCCCACTGTGGCACCGCATGCGGCCTCGTCCGGCCTGCAGTCTCGCCCCCTTGCTCGCTCTGACCCCGCCCTCTCACCTCAGCAGCCCCTCGCCCAGCTACCCGCGCTGCAGGCGCACCCCGCGGAGGCTCGGGGGAATGATGCTGCGGGGACAGACGCGGACGAGGATGGGGGAATGGACGACGAGGGGAGGGATGGGAATGAGGGGATGGGTCATGGGGAGGAAGAAGGGGGGGAGGGTGAAGGAGGGGTTGGGGACGAGGGCGGGGATTCACGGCAGAGAATGCGGAGGCGAGTGCAGGTGGAGCGAGTGAGGCGCCAGCGAGTCAGGTACCTCCACCGCCCACCCACCTCTGCCCCACTGCATCGCCTCTTCTGCCACCACCCATGGCAGTCTCTCTCTTGTCTCTCATCCGCATATCCGCCCTCCCTGCCCTTGTCCCACCCTCCCTCACTCCCTAAGTCTCTCGCTCCCTCCCTCCTTTCCTCCCTCCTGTTGCCCTCCTCTCTCTCCACCCTTCTTTATCCCGCCTTCCCTCACTCCCTCCTTCCGTCCCTTCCTCCCGTTACCCTCCATCACTCCTTTCCTCACTCGTTCGGTCTTTCCTCCATCCCTCCGTTCTTTATTCCCCTCTCTCTCCTTCTGCCCCTCTCGCCATCCTTCGCTCCCTCCGTTCCTCTCTCTCCTACGTTTTCTGTCTCCTTCCCTCTTTTCTTCCTTCCCTGTCTCCCTCCTCCCATCCTTTCCTTTCCCCTTTCCCTCTCGTCTTCTCCCTCCCTTGATCCTACTCTCCCTCTTTCCCTTCCTCCATCCTTCCATCCCTTCTTCGCCCTCTCCCTTGTTTGTTCTCCCTCCTTCCCTGGTGTCGTCGCTCCCTTGTTCCCTCTCTTCTTCCCTCTCTGTTTCCTTCCCTTCCTTCTTGACTCTCCCTTCCCTCTCTTCTAATCTCACTTTCTCCTTCTCTCCCTGTTTCCCTTTCTCCATCTTTCCCACCCAATCTCCCTTGTTCTTTCCCCATCCCCCCGCTCTCTCCTTCACTCCCTCTTTTTCTCCCTCATTCCTTCCTTTCTTCCCTCTCTCCCTACTTCCCTCGCTCCCTACTTCCCTCTCTGCCCCCTTTCCTCCTTCCTTTCCTCCTTCCTTTCCTCCTTCCTTTCCTCCGTTATCCCTCCCTACTTCCCTCTCTACTCCCTTCCCTCTCCTCCTCCTATTCTCTACCGTTCGTTCCCCTTCTCGCTCTTCCCCTGACTCCCTCCTTCCCTCTCTCCCTCCTTGCCTCTCCCTCTCCTTCCATCTCTCCCCCATTCCCCCTTCCCATCTTTCCCTCTCTTCCTCCTTCCCTCACTCCCTCCTTCCCTCTCCCCCCGTCCCTCTCTCCCTCCATCCCTCTCTCCCCTCTTCCCTCCTTTTCTCCCTCTTCTCCCTCCTTCCCTCTCTCCCTCCTTGCCTCTTCCCTCCCTTTCCTCCTTCCTTCTCTACTTCCTCTTCCTCTTCTTCTCCCTTTCCAATCGATCCTCTCCGCCCTGTTGCATTGCATCCGCCCCTATTCTTTCCCACCCATCTTAATTCCTCCGTATTCCCCCCCATGCCTCCCTATTCCCTTCCATCCGCCCCTATCCCCCCGATACCCCATGGCACGTGTGCGCAGGGAGGGGTTGCAGCAGCTGCAGCAGAGCATACCGTACGCGGCAGGCAACGAGGAGACCGCCTCCATGCTCGACAACGTCGTCTCATACATCCGCCAGCTGCAGGTGCGCCTCATACATCCGCCAGCTGCAGGTGCACGCTGGTGTAGACAGGTGTTGACAGGTGTATACCGCTGTATGTGCAGGTGCACCTGAGTGAGACACCTGCAGGTGCATGTGAGGCAGGTGCATGTGAGGCAGGTGCATGTGAGGCAGGTGCATGTGAGGCAGGTGCATGTGAGGCAGGTGCATGTGAGGCAGGTGCAAGTGAGGCAGGTGCATGTGAGGCAGGTGCATGAGTGGAAGTCATCACGCAGTTGCTCCCTCACATGAACCTGCTCACAGCTGACATGTGCCCGGGATAATCCTCCATGTTCTGCTGCCCTGTCCACTGAGTCACTCAATCCCCTCCTCGCCACTCATCCCCCTGCCCCTGCACATCATCAGGACGACTGCAGTGGTCTCGAGCACATACTCCTCTCCTCCACACCCTCCTCCTCCATTCCATTGCCTTCTGCACCTGCTCATGCCGCTGCTGCTGCTGCTGCTACCGCTGCCACCGCCTCCCTGCAACTGCCCCCCACCAGCGCCAGCACGCCCCTGCCACCGGGCCTATTCTCGCCATACATGCTGCCTCCGCACCACCCACCACCCTAGCATGGCGCCATAGCTTAGCATCACTGCGGCATGCCACCGCTCACTTCGTGCTGCCTCTGGGCCATAGTTGTGTTGTTGTGATGCATGGGTGTGGTGCATGTGGCCGTGCCACCATGCCTCTTCTCTTTCTTTGGCTTGTAAAGAACCTCCTTGTTAATTCTGTGTTGTCTGAAATTGCTGTGCCAATCGTGTTCATTAGAGCGACCCTGGCAACCGTGCATACTGCCGGGGTGCCTGCTGTTGTTGCTTCACAGAAGCACGCCCACTGGCGCTGAGGTCTGCAGTGCCTGTTGCATTGTGCTGCGATCAGAAGTTGATCGTCCCTAGGATCACCTTAGGAATGTTCGCTCATGCAAGAGTAGTGGTGGTGGGCCCTTGACTTCAATAGTAGAGTGGATGTAAAATGCTTGAGATAATTGAAACATGCAAGTACAAAGGTATAAATAAGAGTACAGGAAGGAATACGAATCGACCTAGCTAGCCATGTACTCTAAGGGGTACATTCCCTTATTACAGCGAAATTCAACCGTGCAACTCCAGACAGTTACGAAACTGTCCGGGCAGAATCCTCGCCACTGCTACTGCCTGATGCTATCTTCCCGACGGTCCAGATCCTTTTCGTAACCGTACGACGCTTCGCGTCACTTCTGCCTTTTCGCCTTCATCCTTGGTAGTGCGTGCTTCGATTGCTGCGGTAAGGAGTGCACAGTGATGCTTCAATAATTACTATTCGTAACACCCCCCTTCACTCCTGGCCGTAGCGAGTCTTGACCCGCTTGACTACTCCGCTGAGTTCGGAGCAGTGCTGGTACTGCTGACGTGACAGCTTCTTTGTGAGAAAGTCAGCTGCCATGTCACCCGTCGGACAGTAGATGAGGTCAACCTTGCCCTTGTCAACTTCATCTTTGACGAAGAAGTACCGCATCGCGATGCGTTTGGTGCAGTTGACGAATCCAGGCTTGTTCGCGATCCTGATCGCACTCTGGTTGTCACAGTGTAGGCGGTGTTAGAATATACTTATATATTTTGTATAACTGTCTGCAGTGTAGACTGTAGTGCATCTCACTTGCTGTAGGTGGTGTACCATGTGGCTTTCTCTTTGCTATATCTTGTACCTTGCTCAATAGTGAAACCCCTCCTTTCTCGACTTCCCTAACCCCAAATCTCTCGACATTGATCCTTAGCCTCAACCTATGCTTCCTAAGCCTAAACCTAGTTTCCTAGGTGCTTAGTATTTTGACATGCTATCAGAGTGAGTTCCGATCTAGGACCATTCTCATTGGGCCCACCCTACACTTCTAATGCGTCACTCTGCTGCCCGTCGCGCGCCCCGGGCGCCCGTCGGTTTTCAGCCCGTCGCGCGCCCCGGGCGTGCGTCGATTTCGTGCACGGGCGCACGACGGTTTCCTGCTCGTTGTGCGACCTGCTGTCGCCCGCACAGCCCCTTCACCGTCCCCCCGCCCCCCCCTTCTCCTCCATCCTCCTGCTGATCGTGCAGCAGGGGGGGGAGGGTATGGGGGTGGCGGGGGTGGCGAACGACGGTTTCCTGCCCGTCGCTCGCCCTGCTGTCGCCCGCGCGGCTCCTACACCGCCCCCCCCCCCCCCCCCCTTCTTCTCCATCCCCCTGCTGCGCGTGCAGCAGTGGGGGGAAGGGTATGGGGGTGGCGGGTGTGGCGCACGACGGCTTCCTACGAGCGCCCTGCTGTCGCCCGCGCAGCTCCTACACCGCCCCCCCCCCCCCCCCCCCCCCCCCCCCCCTTCTCCTCCATCCCCCTGCTGCACGTGCAGCAGTGGGGGGGAGGGTATGGGGGTGGCGGGTGTGGAGCAAGACGGTTTCCTGCCCGTCGCGCGCCCTGCTGGCACCCGCACAGCCCCTTCACCGCCCCCCCGCCCCCCCCTTCTCCTCCATCCTCCTGCTGATCGTGCAGCAGGGGGGGGAGGGTATGGGGGTGGCGGGGGTGGCGAACGACGGTTTCCTGCCCGTCGCTCGCCCTGCTGTCGCCCGCGTGGCTCCTACCCCCCCCCCCCCCCCCCCCCCCTTCTTCTCCATCCCCCTGCTGCGTGTGCAGCAGTGGGGGGGAGGGTATGGGGGTGGCGGGTGTGGCGCATGACGGTTTCCTGCCCGTCGCGCGCCCTGCTGTCGCCCGAGCAGCTCCTACACCACCCCCCCCCCCCCCCCCCGCCCCCCCCTTTCTCCTCCACCCCCCTGCTGCGCGTGCAGCAGTGGGGGGGAGGGTATGGGGGTGGCGGGTGTGGCGCACGACGGTTTCCTGCCCGTCGCGCGCCCTGCTGTCGCTCGAGCAGCTCCTACACCACCCCCCCCCCGCCCCCCCCTTTCTCCTCCATCCCCCTGCTGCGCGTGCAGCAGTGGGGGGGAGGGTATGGGGGTGGCGGGTGTGAGTAGTCAGCCGCCCACCACCTCCTCCTCTCTCTCCCTGTCGCACTTGATGTTGTGTTGGGAGAGGGGGGGGAGCTTGGAGGTTAAGGGGGTGGCAGGAAGGGATCTGCAGCACCAGCCCCCCCGCCCCCCCCTTCTCCTCCATCCCCCTGCTGCGGATGCAGCAGTGGGGGGGAGGGTATGGGGGTGGCGGGTGTGAGTGAACTGCTGCCGCCTCTCCTCCTCTCTCTCCCACTGCTGCACATGCCGCTGTGGGGGGGGGAGGGTGTGGGGGAGATGAGGGAGTGGCAGTAGGGATGCTGAGGGGTGTGAAAGGGAGGTTTGGGGAAATGGGGGAAGTTGAAGGGGGGTGGACGCCGTGAAGCCAGCAGCTCCAGTCGTCCGTGAGACCGTTGCGCCAGTTGCACGTGAGCCCGTTGCTCCTGTCGCCCGTGAGTCAGTTGCTCCAGCCGCTCGCTTAGCCGCTGAGCCAGTTACTCCAGTTGCCCGTGTGCCAGTTGCTCCATTTGCCAGTGTGCCAGTTGCTCCAGTTGCCCATGTGCCAGCAGCTTCAGCCTCCACCCACCACCTCCTCTCCTCTCATGGTCCCTCCTCCTCTTCACTTGCCCTCTCCTTCCTCCGCTGCCCCTGGTGTACCCCTTCAGGGGGTGTTATGCACAAGGTTCTTCACTACAGGCAGTTAGGGGGTGTGTTAGAATATACTTATATATTCTGTATAACTGTCTGTAGTGTAGACTGTAGTGTATCTCCCTTGCTGTAGGTGGTGTACCATGTGGCTTTCTCTTTGCTATATCTTGTACCTTGCTCAATAGTGAAACCCCTCCTTTCTCGACTTCCCTCACCCCAATTCTCTCGACATTGATCCTTAGCCTCAACCTATGCCTCCTAAGCCTAAACCTAGTTTCCTAGGTGCTTAGTATTTTGACAGGCGGAAGTTCGGCGAAGCCAGAATTTTCGCCTCTTGCAGCAGCTCCTAAAGGTAGAGGCCTTCGCGAACAGCTGCTGTTGCTGCGATGAACTCGGCCTCCGCTGATGATAGGGCAACCAGCTTCTGTTTCTGCGAATTCCAGGAGATGGGGCCGTTGGGCTCAAGGCGGAAGAGGAAGCCTGTCCTGGACCGTCGAATGTAGGGGTCAGCGGCATGATCAACGTCCACGTAGCCGATGAGGTTGAAGGACGAGGTTGGGATGGTGGAGTAGCAGAGCCCAACATTGGGCGTGGAGATGAAGAATTGAAGTGCCCGCTGAAGATCTAGCAGATTCTCAGCCGTTGGTTTGCGAGAGTACTGGGCCAACTGGCTCGCGATGTAGGAGAGATCAGGTCTGCAGGTGACAGAGGCGAAGAGTAGGCATCCCAGCTGCTGCTGGTAGGTATGAAGCCCAGCAGGGGACAAGGCTTTGTTGTCAGGCTTGTGGTTGGGTCCTGGAGTGCGGTTAAGGGTGGAGAGTGGTGCAGGTGCAATGTTGAAGCGCTTGCCAAGTTCCTCTACATACTTGGCTGTTGAAAGGTGAATGGCTTCTGTCGAGTACGAGATGTTGAGCCCGATGAACTGCTTCACGTCGTGGTTGCAGGTAATATCGACGCGCCCCGCGAGGTTCTTCTCGAACTGCTCAAGCAATTCATTGCTTGACCCTGTGTAGAGGAGGTCGTCGACGTAGACCGTGAGTAGAATGTATTCGCCTCGGAAATCACGGCGATACATCCCAGGATCATGAGGCAGCTGTTTGAAGCCTATCTCGAGCAGGATGTTGTCCAGGTACTGCTGCCAGAGCCTTGGAGCTTGTTTAATCCCGTAAAGGGACTTTCGCAGCTGGCACACGTGTGAGTCTCCCTCACCGTATGTATGCAGCTGCTCCACGTAGATTACAGCATCTACTAACGCGTAGAGGAACGTGTTCTTCACATCAATCTGTCGGAGCGGGAGGTGTCGTGCGGCAACGATGGCGAGGAGGATTCTGACGGAGGTGTGACGGCTGACCGGCGCAAACGTCTGGTCAAAGTCGATGTCGTGCCTCTGGTCGTAGCCACGTACGACCCATCGCGCCTTGAATCGTTCAATCGTGCCGTCCGCTGCGGTCTTCACGCGGAACACCCATTTCCATGAGAGAATTCTTCTCCCCTTGATTGCCGCTCGATCGACGAGCACCCAGGTGTCGCGAGACTCAAGTGCCTTGATTTCCGCATCCATCGCTTCGCGCCACTCCTTGCTGTGTGGTCCCGTGAGTGCTTGGCGCGGATTCTTCGGCTCGATGACACATGGCGCCGTTGAGGTGGCAGTGTGGAGCCCGAGAAGTTGAAGTCTTGAAACGGTGCTGTCGTGGTGGTGCTGCGGGATGACTTCCTGCACATCGACATCGTCGCTTTCTGGTTCAGGTGGTGCTGGCGGTGCTGCGCATCCGCCGCTTCCGCTTCCGCCTCCGCCTGCTGCACCTACTCCTCCTCCATGAGAATCGTCGTCATCGTCATCGTTGCAATCGCCTCTTGTGAACTCCAGAATGGCTGCTGCAGCTTCGTCCTCAGGTGAAGCGTAGCTGTGTCCGTTGTTGGCGTAGACGCGATTCGCGTTCGCCTGCTCGTCTTCGCGAAATTGCCGAAGGAAGAGCCGCTCATAGAAGATGACGTCACGTGTATTCTTTACCTTCTGGCTCATGAGATCTAGGATGAGCCACGCCTTGTGTTCGTGGCTGATGCCGAGGTGAACTCCCCAGCGCGCACGGCTTGCAAACTTCCCGATGGTTGACGTTGGCGGGCGGTACTGCACCATGCACCCCCACACACGGAGCATTGATGTGTTGCCCTTGGTCCCTGTCCACTTCACATGCGGTGATGAGTTGCCGGTGATGGCCGTGGTCGATAGCAGGTTGTGCACTCGCACGATGTGGTGCATTGCGTAGGTCCAGTCAGTTGGCGGAAGCTTCGACTGCTTCATCAACGCCCGCACCTTTGTCATGAGCGTACGACTCGTGCGCTCGGCTACGCCTTGCTGCTGATGTGCGTAGGGGAGGGAAACATGGTGCTCGATTCCCTTCTGCGCCAGGTAATCTTGCATCTCCTTGCTCCTGAACTCCGCTGCGCCGTCAGATTGCCAAATTTTCAGTTTCTCCCCAGATTGCCGCTGCGCGTGTGCCAGCCATAGACGAAACACTTCGTATGCTCTGCTGCGCGCCTCCACGTTTACGACCCACATGTAGCGCATTCCAGCGTCAACGAAGGTGAGCGTATACAGCTCATCGTTAATTCTGCAATGTCCTACGTTGAGGAAGTCACTGTATACCTTCTCCAGTTGGTTTCGTTGGTTGGTTTCGTGCTCTAGCAGGGGGAACGATTGGTGGCTTAGCGCGGCTTTGGGGCAGATGGTGCAGTTGCGCGGATGTGTCGCGCCCCTTACTTCGGTGTCATCAGGGCGCATGAGTGCGCCAGGCGCAAACACGCCGGCCTCGATGCAGTTCTTCAGCGTTACGCGCGAGGGGTGACCAAGGCGCTGGTGCCAAATGGCATCGTCGGCGCAGAATCCAGAGGTGCGCATGTAGCGCGCGTGTGCTTCTGCGGGGTCCTCGTCAGGTGCTTGGGCAGGTTCCGCCGCTGTTTCTTCAGCTTCATCGTCTCTGTTCGCCGTCGTTAGCATCAGCGTAAGAAATTCCCTGTCAAGAATGGTGGAGAGGGGAATGTTGGTTCCGGGGATAGTTCCCTGGAAGAAGGTTGGTTCGCGCGGCTCGGGGGCAGGCCCGTAGACGGTGCGACGCGGAGTAGAGGGCTCATTGCCCCAGTCGACGGTGTCCCAGGGGTCACTTCCTGGCTGGATGTCAGGTGGGGGTAGTACAGGAGCAGTGCGGCGCGGAGGGTGACCAAGAGGAACAACTGGAGGTTCTGCCTCAATTTCCTCTTCTTCCCCCCTTTGGTCCTCGCGGGAAGCCCCCCAGCCTTCGCCGGAAGTGCCCCATCCGCTTGTCTCGCCGCCAGATGCGGCTCCCTATCCGCCAGTGTCGCTCGTGCCCCATCTGCCAGTGCTTCGCCACCCCCCTTCATTGGAGGCGCTCTCCTCTTCGCCCCATCCGCTCCAGGCGAATGTGTCGCGCGACTCCGCAAGGCTCCATTGGCGAAGCTCTTCCACTTTGTGTCGTGCCAGTTCCTCTTCTTGCGCCACGATAAGCTTCTTCGTAGAGTCGCGCTGGTGAGAGTAGATTTCCAGAAATTTCTCCTTTGTGTAGGGTCGCGGGAATCCGTGCGCATCGAAGGTGCCGACACCAACGCCACGCAACATACCCCGAAGATGTTGTGATGCAGGTCCGGGGAGGAGATGTTCCTCCGTTCTGAAGACGACTCGCGTGGCGGTCTCGAGCTCCAGGTGAGACAGTCCTTCTCCAGGCGGTGCTTCCCGCTTTGCTTCGGCGATGGCGGCAAGGCCACGGCCGGCAATCGCGCTCGTTGAGGCAGTGGGTGTGTGGCAATCTCTGCAGATGCCGTCAGGGTCGGGGTCATGCAGTGCCAACTCGCGCGGATGATGGTGGTGCGGCACCCACGGTCTTCCATCTGGGTGTTTCTAGTCGCAGTGGTAAATGTGCTCGAAGCACAGAGGGACGAGGTCGATGAGCTCCTGCGAATCACCGCTGCAGTCAGGAATACTAAAGTCAAGGATGTAGACGCCGTTTTCGGAGTGCGCTCGTCCGATCTGCTTGCGTATCTTGTTCGGCATCATGAAGTGGAGCAGAATGTCACGTGTCTCGGGGTCGGTACTGAGGTCAACCCCGCAGTCCATGAGTTGCGCCGCCAAGAGTAGATTGAAGCGTATATTCTGCACGATCAACACGTCGTTCAGCGTGATGTGCGTCCTGCTCCCTCGAACCTTGAGCACAACGATTCCTTGCGCGCTTGCGCGCAGGCGTGTGTTGTTTGCCACGATGACATAGGTCACGGTGGGGGTGGAGACGGTGTTGGATATGTAACGCTCGGAGCCCACCATGTGCTGCCCACAGCAGCTGTCCAGGTACCACGTGTTGTAGCACCTATTGTCGTTACGTGCGAGTAGCGCCGGTCGCGGAGTAACGATGTGTGGTGTGTCAACCTTTAGAAACTGTTCGCGCACGATCCAATCGATCGGTGCCACCCGCGTATCGGGTACGTGCGGGGGGCTTTCAAGCAGCGGGACTGGGAGATTCCTGTCTTGTTCATTGTCGTCGGTGAATTCGTGGCGTGTGCTGAACGGATTGTTGTTTTGAAAACGCTCCGATTGGGTGCCGTGCTGGCTTAGGTGACGGTGAGCGCGCACGGTGACGACGAGATCCGCTCGTCATTATCATGTTGCCCATGACGTTGCGGACGGGTGCAGTCGGTGGCTGCTGCTACTGATGCTAAACCGTTGGGTTCAAGTTGCGCGGTGGGGGTTGATGCCCCTGGGTTGGACGCGTGTCGTTCCGTGCGTCTTGTCGGCCAGACCAGTTGCTCTGATTGGTCTGACGAGGGCGAGATCGGAATTTGCATCGATCTGCCAGGTGCCCGAAATTTCTGCAAATCTTGCAGTAAAGGCGCCGCGGCCGTCGCTCCTCCGTGTTGTCGGCGTAGAAGGCGAGGCGTTCCCTGTCTCGACGCGGCGCTAGTCGCTGCTGATCCATATCCCTTTATTCGACGAGAAGGGCGGCGCATAGGGTGGCCTCCGAGATGACCCCCTGCTGTCGGAGAAGCGCCTTGCAGGGCCGCCACTCTGGGCCAAGCCCTTGAAGCACGATATTCACGAAGATTTCTTCGGAAATGTTGCTTCCCAACTTCGCGATTTGATCGCATAAGCTCCGGCAGCGATTGGTGTAGCTGTTGGCCTTCTCCCCTGGGACCATTCTTGTCTCCAGTAGCTGCTAGAGCAGGCGGCTCGACGAAACCGAATCCTTCGGTTGGTAAACGCCGTTCAGGTGGCACCAAGCGTCGAGGGCTGGAGCAGGTGATCTTTTGTACGAGCGAATGCTCAACTGCTCCGCCGGCGACATATTCCGCAGGAGGACGCCGTACGCCATCAACGACTCGTTGTAGTACTACGCCCGGGCGTCAGCAGTATCCTCAGCGGGTCCTGAGTAGCTCCCGTCGAAGTAGTGAAATATCTGCGCGTTTTGCAGTAGCAGTTCCAGCTCGAAGCTCCACGTATAGAAGTCTCTGCCGTCAAAACATGCACTTGTCTTTATCTTAGATATGCTAAAAAACCTTGATTGCGCAGAGAGAATTGCTTCTTCGCTGGGACGGGGAGTCTTGGGTGTTGAGCCATTTGTGTTGAGGGAGAAGGTATGCGGGGCGGTATTTTGGCCGTTTGAGGCCGGTTGAGTGGGTTGGGAAGATGTTCCCGCGTCGCCATTCCGCAATGTTTGGAGTTTTTTCTCCAGGCTGGTGAGTCGCTGAAGCATCTGTGCGAGGGCGGCGGTTCCAATCGTCGTCGTTTCCTCGCTTGTCGTAGCCGGGTTGGTCTGCGCTTCAGCCGTAAGATTCGTCTGACCACCAGATCCTCCGGCCATTCTCACACGTGAGCGTGTGCCGGACGCCACTTTTCGTTCGCCGAAGATTTCGGAGGTGGCAGTGCGAAGGATTCTCGAGTCGCTCTCATACCATGCTGTGATCAGAAGTTGATCGTCCCTAGGATCACCTAAGGAAGGTTCGCTCACGCAAGAGTAGTGGTGGTGGGCCCTTGACCTCAATAGCAGAGTGGATGTAAAATGCTTGAGATAATTGAAACATGCAAGTACAAAGGCATAAATAAGAGTACAGGAAGGAATACGAATCTACCTAGCTAGCCATGTACTCTAAGGGGTACATTCCCTTATTACAGCGATATCCAACTGTGCGACTCCAGACAGTTACGAAACTGTCCGAGCAGAATCCTCGCCATTGCTGCTACCTGATGCTGCCTCCCCGACGGTCCAGATCCTTTTCGTAACCGTATGACGCTTCGCGTCACTTCTGCCTTTTCGCCTTCATCCTTGGTAGTGCGTGCTTCGATTGCTGCGGTTAGGAGTGCACAGTGATGCTTCAATAATTACTATTCGTAACACATTGCATGGCCACTCGCAAGACCTGCAGTGCTCATGTTTCATTATTTCTCTGTTCACCCACCCTGCTCACTTGAGCGCAAGGCCTTCAGGCATTGCTGTGGTAGATGCTCCTTCAGCCATCGAAGCAAGGCACATCCCTAGGAATTTACACGCCATGCATGATCACTGCTCTTCATTCAATACTTGTTGCCAACACACCTCATAAGCAGTTGGCCTATTCACCAGTCTCTCCGGCAACACGTGGTTACCACCATGCCTATGCGCACCCACCACCACTCGTGCCTTCCCTGGCACTCGCACTAGAGCCTCTATGCCATACATCACAGAAAGGACAACCGATACCGACCCTAGCAGCACGGCCTGCAGCCTATCGGGATCACCTTTGAAGGCAAGTAATGCAGCGAGGGCGGCAAGGGTGGCACACACACTCATGCGCAGCACCCCCACTGCTGCTCTCACCAGCCGCCCATCTGACACCAGTTGCGGGCCTGAAGGGGGCAGCAGCGAGGCTGCGGGGGACGAGTGCGATGCGGTTGAGTGCGGTGCCACGTGGTGGGAGTGGTGGTGGTGCGGTCGTGCGCGGTAGAGGAAGAGGTAGTTGTATTTGTCGACGATGAGGCGGTAGGAGAAGAAGAGCAGCCCGGCCGGCAGCACGAGGGGGGCCAGGGGCGCATGGAAGAGCAGCAGGCAGAGCGCCGTGGTGTTGTATGCGTAGTACTGCGCATAGTCAAACTGCAGCACGCCCCGCCGCTTCCTCCAAGGCTCTTGTGCCCCTGCCCCTGCTACTGGTGCCTCCACCCCTGGTGGTGGTGCCTCTGGTGTGGGGGGTGTAGATGCTGACGGTTGTGGCGATGCTCCCGTGCCACCTGGTTCTGCTGCTGCTGCTGTGGGGTCCGGTATGCACGCACCAGGGGCCGGAGGGAAGGCGTCGAGGGGCGTGCAGGGGGGTGGGTGGGTGGAGGGTGGGGGCAAGGGTGTGTGTGTGGTGGTGGGTGAGGCGGGTGAAAGGAGAGCGGTGAGAGAGGAAGGGGAGAGGAGGTGGGAGTGAGTTGCTGCCTCTGCTTCTGCCTCTTCGAGCAGAGAGAGCAAACCAAGGTCACTCTCACTGCTGCACACACTCTCTCCCTCACTCCCTCCCTCCTCATCATCACTCGCCCGGTTGCCACCTTCAGCCATGTCATCCAATGGCTGTCCGCCACGTGTCTCAGGATCACCATCCCCACAACGATCCTCAACAGCATCACCTGGCAGGGGCACATAAGCACCGCTCTGCACCACTCCAACTCCTCCCACTTGCTCCCTCCCCGCCACCACTTCTCTCACCCAACCTCCCAGCACGTCCAATCCACTGCCCACATTCCCCAGCCCCACACCCTCTCTGCCTGCTCCCGCCCCAACCCCTACACTTCCAGCCCTTGCAATGCGGCGCCAGTGCTGTGAGAAGCGCTGCACTGAGAGCAGCAGGCGCTGCAGTGCAAGGCGCAGGGAGAGGCGCAGGCGGTGCAGGCGGGGGGCGAGCCAGGCGAGGGGTGCGAGGAGGTCAAAGGAGACACCGAGCAGCGCGGAGGTGAGGAGGAAGCAGAGCGCAGAGAGCGAGGAGGCCGGGATGAGCGAGGCGTTGAGCCAGTGCAGCACCGTGGGGCAGTGAGAGGAGAGCAGCGAGCAGCGCTGTGCGTGCAGCAGTGCCGCCTGCAGCAGCGCCTCCAGCAGTGCCTGGCGTGGGAAACAGCAAGGGGAAGAGGAGGGGTGGAGAATTGGGGTTGCGCATTGCCCTGGCAGCCAGTGCATGGCAGCAAAAAAGGAAAGTAACGAGCCTGGCCTCTCAGACAACGTGAGAAGCGCAGCAGCAAGGAGGCAGCAGCGGGCAGCAGTGCGTGAGGGCGGGGAGGCACCTTGAGCACGTAGAGGTTGAAGAGGTAGAGTGCGGTGAGCTTGAGCAGCAGTGCCGCCTGCTGGCGCGACGTGGTGATGTGGCCCTCAAACAGCACGAGGCGGTGCAGTGCTGCGGGCATGACGCCGTACATGGCCGTGAATGAGAGCACGTTGGGCAGAAACTGCAGCACCACCGCTGCCTTGCCGCTGTTGCTCTGATGCCCAAGGGGCGCATGGTGAGGGAGAGAGGGGTGGAGGAAAGGAGAAGAATAGAGAGGGAATGAGAAGGCAACCCCTCCCCTCCCCGTGCTCTCTACCGCTCCGCCATTTCCCACTTCAGCTTAAATCCCCTTCCAATCCACCCCATTTCCCCCTTCGTTCCTCAACTCACGCGCGCCCATGAGAGCCAGGCGTTGAGGTGGGAGAGGGCAGCAGTATCAGCAGTGTGGGCAGCAGACGAGACGGCGGAGAGCAGGGCGAGCGGGCACGACCACGCACACAGTGCCACCACCACAACCACATTCACCACCCATGTGCGGACACGCCTCGCCGCCCGGCTGCCGCCCACGTTACGCCAGATGATGCTGGCAGCGGGCGGCGCCCGCTCTACACGCCAGGAGGCGGTGGCGAGGGGGGCCAGGCGCCACCTGGGGGAGGCCCACAGGGCGTCTCTTAAAGCCCGTGTGGCCGTGTAGGCATCGCGGAACACCACCAGCGCCACCCCCGCCCCGCCCCCCCTGCCCCTCCGCAACAGCTGCGCCTCCCCCTCCGCTCTGCGCACCTGCTCCTCCAGCCTCCGCGCCTCCTCCCCCCAGTCGCTCACCCCCATGCCCCACAGCCAGGCGGGGGACGTGAGGGGGAGGAGAAGCCCCAGGGGGGCGAGGAGGTGGGAGAGGGAAAGGAAGAGCGAGTGCAGTGCGGTGAGAGGGGAAAGGCAGAGGCAGTGCACTGCAGAGCGGGCGGCGTGGGGCGGCAGGAAGAGACGGAAGCAGGCGAGGAGAGACGACGCCACGGGCCCATCCGTGCCAGTGCCATGCCCCCCTCTCCCTCCCTCCTCCTCTTCCCCTTCCTCCATCTCCCCTCCCATCCCCTGCATGCCAGCTGGACCCTGCCGGCCACTCCAAGCAATGAGAGGCTCATGCACAGATGTCACGTCAGAACCACCATTTCCATGCACCTGTGCTTGCGGCCCTGCGCCGGCACCTGTCTCCATACCTGCGGTGCCCTGCAGAGCGGCCCTGGCATGTGCCTGGGCGAGGCGGGCTGAGAGCGCTGCCACGCGCCGCCTGGCTGCCAGCGCTGCCGCCACGTCTGGCGGCTGCAGCACCCTTGCCACCCTCCCTGGATATAGGCGGTCCCAGTACTCCAACAGTAGCTGGTGGTGGTGGGGTGGGAACGAGACAGGGGGGATGCAGGGAGGGCACGGGAGGTAAGAGAGGGGTGAGGATGGGAGACAGACGAATGGACTTTGTGCGTGTGTGTGAGTGAGTGAGTGAGGGGGTGAGTGAGTGAGGGGGTGAGTGAGTGAGCGAGTGAGTGAGTGAGTGAGTGAGTGAATGAGTGTGGGGAGAGGAGGAGGGCAAGCAGTGAGCGCTGAGGGCGGCAAGAGAGGGCACCTGGGGGCAGGCTGACAGGCCTCTAGGAACTCCGCGAATGAGAATGGTGTACTCTGCCACGTCATGCGCTGTCATGTCCACGTCATCATCGCCATCGCCATCCGCGCCATCAGCGCCACTGGCGCCAGCAGCAGCAGCGCCATGGCGGGCAACGCAGTGCAGAGCCGCATACCCTTCCCGCGGACTCTCCCCATCTCTGCTTCCCCCCCCACCCCACGCCCTTCCCGACCCCCCTGCGCTGCCTGTGCCCCCCTCCCTGCCCTGCGCTGCCGCCCTGGCGCGCACGCGCTGGCGGCGGAAGGCGCGGATGGCGAGGTGCATGGCGGGGGGCAGCAGGAGCGCGAAGAGCGCGTGCAGCCAGAGCGCGGGCGCGGCGGGCGCGACGTGCGCGATGGTGGCGGCCGCCAGGTAGTCACACACCGCGGAGTCCGCTCCGCGCACGTTGGCCGGGAACAGCAGCGCCATCGCCGGCACCAGCAGCGCCGCGATGAGCGCACACGTGCAGCGCTGGGGGACGGATTGGGGGGATGGGGGGAGCAGGGGAAAGGACGGAAGGGGAAAGGGGAAGGGAAGAGGGAGGGGGGCACAAGTTCAGGGGACGGAAGCGGGAGGGGGGCGGCCGGGGGGAAGAAAGGGGAAGAAGGACCGAGTGCGGGGGGCGAAGGCGCACGAGCAGGATGAGGTAGTCGGCGGCGTCCGCTCCGCACAGCGTGACGATCTGCGCGTCCGTCACGTGCCACACCGCGCGCAGCTTGCGCCACGCGTGGCGCGCGGACGGCAGGCGGTGATCGGCGCGCAGCTTGACGGCGGCGAAGAGCGCCACGCAGCACACGCCGGCCGGCGCGCTGACGTTCCACAGGTACTGCAGCCCCCACGCCGCGCCCGCCCCGCCCGCCCCGCCCCCATCGCCCCCCCCGCATGTGCTGTTGGCGGGCGGCGGTGGCGCGAACGACATGGGCGGAAGGAGCAGCGGAAGGGGGTGGACGGGAAGGGGCAGCGCGCGCGGCAACGAGTACTAGTGCGCGGTGGCATCAGGCGGAGAACGTAGGGAGTGTGGGACAGGCGTGGGAGGAAGGCGCGGAGAAGAGAGTACGGTGGCGCGGCAGCAGTGGCGACGCGGGGAACAGGCAAGGAGCGACCATGACGAGTGGCGCACGCTGGCGTTCGATGAGATCGCGTCGCACTGCCGGCTTGGTAAATGGGATTGGAGAGATCGGAGCGGCGCGTGTGCGGCTCGGGAGGTGATTGGGAAGTGAGTGGGTGTGGGGTGGGGATGCGAATGTGTGTCGGAGCGGACTCGCAGTGAGGCAGCGTGAGCACTGGGAAGCAGCTTGGTGTGGTCTGAGCCCTGGATTTTGTCATTTCGAAATATGAATCTGCTAGCAGCATGCGTGTAGTCGTGCACGCCATTGCAATAGCAAATCTGTTAATGTCGCATGTTTGGCAGTCCGTCTCCCTCCTACCTCATCCCTCCCCGCTACTACTTTCAATTCCACCATCCCCGTGCGCGCACACTACAGCAAGGCACCGCCGGGTCCGGCGCCGTCCTCTCCGCGGATGAATTCCGCCGCGCGCCTCTCCCCGCGGTGACCTGCCCGCGTTGGTAATTTCCCTCGCCTGCTCTCCGTCCCCTTCGCGCGATCGCCAGCATGCCTCGCCCGCATCATCGCAGCACACTCGCCGTCGCACGCCGATTCGTCGCAGCAGTCGCCAATGCGCGCAGCGACATCGCTCCGAGCAGCGCGCGCACGCCCGCGCTAATTGAGCTGTCCACGCCCCCGCCTCCCGCCCCCCTGGCTGCTACTCCCGCGCATTCCTTCCGCATCAGCGCGTTTCCCGCGCTCAGGGGCGCAGCCGGGGGGAGTTCCCCCTTGACGCATGCTGGCGCAGTGCTTTCCGCCGCTGCGGCGGTTATAGCCGCTGCGGTAGTGGCGGGGGAGGGATCGGCGGCGCTCACGGAGTGCGAGGGCGCGGAGAGGGGGAAGGGCGGAAGCGAGGAGGGAAAAGAACAGGAGGCGGTGCGCACGGGGAAGGGGGAAGAAGCGGAGAAGGCGGCGGCTAATGGGGAGGGGGTGGCAGAGCGCAGGGCGGTGGTGAGCGCGCTGAGCGCGGAGGTGCGCGCAGGGCTGGTGGCAGCGGTGGGCGAGGAGGGTGTGGAGGAGGGCGAGGAGGAGAGGCGGAGCCACGCCAAGCCGTGGAACAGCTACCACCCTGTCTCTGCCCTGCCCGCCGCTGTGGTGTACCCCAGGTCACACTCCCCGACCCTGCTGCCCCGCTGCCCCTTTCACGCCCCTCTCATGCGCCCCTCATGCCCTGCGCACCCTCACTGAAACCGCTTTGCCATGTGGAACGGAATGTGCGATGGCATGGCATGGCATGTGCGATGACATGCATGGCATGTGTGGCGGGATGTGGCATGGCATGGCATGGTATGGCATGGCATCAGGAGCACGGAGCAGGTGGCAGCGGTGGTGAGGGTGTGTGCGCAGCATGGGGTGCCAGTGGTGGCGTATGGGGGAGGCACGTCCCTGGAGGGCCACACCACCACGCCCATGGGAGGAGTCAGCATCAACATGACTCGCATGAACGTGAGTGCTCACATGAACGTGAGTGCTCGCATGAACGTGAGTGCTCACATGAACGTGAGTGCTCACATGAACGTGAGTGCTCACATGAACGTGAGTGCTCGCATGAACGTGAGTGCTCGCATGAACGTGAGTGCTCACATGAACGTGAGTGCTCACATGAACGTGAGTGCTCGCATGAACGTGAGTGCTCACATGAACGTGAGTGCTCACATTTTATTTCATTTCATGCTCCCTGCCCTGGCTGTCTCGCTGCACTCCATGCTGCCTGCTGCTCTCAACCACCATCACGCCTAAGGCCTTCTAACTCGTATCCAGCACGTTCCCTCTGCCCTCTCTCCCTCTGCCCTCTCTCCCTCTGCCCTCTCTCTCTCTGCCCTCTCTCCCTCTGCCCTCTCTCCCTCTGCCCTCTCTCCCTCTGCCCTCTCTCCCTCTGCCCTCTCTCCCTCTGCAATCTCTCCCTCTGCCCTCTCTCCCTCTGCCCTCTCTCCCTCTGCCCACTACCACCCCACGCACCTGCTGTGCGTGCTGCATCTACCCCCCCCTCAGCAAGTACTGGCGGTGCATGCAGCGGACATGGACGTGGTGGTGCAGCCGGGCGTCACGTGGGGCGACCTCAACACGCACCTCGCCCCGCTGGGCCTCTTCTTCCCGCTCGACCCCGGCCCCGGCGCCACCTTAGGCGGCATGGCTGGCACGCGCTGCAGCGGGTCGCTGGCAGTGCGGTATGGCACCATGCGTGACAACGTCATTTCCCTGCAGGTGCGCTCACACCTTCACACACTGCGTCTCACACCTTCACACTCTGCGTCTCACAGCTTTCTCAGGCCCTCCTGCCCTGCACCACTGCCACTGCTCCCCCTTCCTCCCACCACCACCTCAGCCTTTGTCCACCTTTTCCTTTCCCTACTCCCACCCTCACCATTCCGAACCACACCACACCACCTCACACCGCTCTCCCCCCGCTCCCAACAGGCAGTGTTGGCGAATGGTGAGGTGGTGCGAACAGCAGCGCGGGCGCGCAAGAGTGCAGCGGGGTACGACCTGACACGGCTGCTGGTGGGGTCTGAGGGCACACTGGCTGTCATCACAGAGCTCACTGTACGCCTGCACCGCATCCCACCGCTCTCCGCCGTGGCCATGTGCCCCTTCCCCTCCATCCGCGCCGCTGCTGATGCCACCATCGCCACCGTGCACAGCGGCGTGCAGGTAAAGGGGGAGAGGGGGTGGTGAGAGGAGGGAGAAGGGTGGGGAGGGAGCGGGATGAGGGGAGGGAAGGGATATTGAGAGGGAGAGAGGGGTGTCGAGGGAGGGAGGAGCGGTTCGGGGGAGGAGGGTGGTGAGGATGAGAGAGAGGGTGGAGGAAACATGGCAGTGGGGAGGTGAGAAGTGGAGACCATGGGCGGTTATGAACCTGCTTCTCCACCACCCCCCACCACTCTGCAACCTTTCCCACACTCCCCCCAACGCCTTCCTCCCCACCCCTCCCCTCCAGGCATCCCGCGTGGAGCTACTAGACGAGGTGATGGTGGGCGCGTTCAACAGCGCCAATGGGTACTGCTACCCGCACCACCCCACGCTCATGCTCGAGGTCACTGCGGAGACCCCCCAGCACCTGGAGCAGCAGCTGGCAGCTGTGAAGGCGGTGGCAGGGCGGCACGGTGCGGAGGAGATGCGGTTTGCGGAGGGTGAGGAGGAGAAGCGCGAGCTGTGGCGCGCCAGGAAGGAGGCGCTGTGGGCCGCTTACTCGCTGCGCCCCGGCACCGAGCCCCTCATCACCGTGCGTGGTCATGAGTGCCATGCACAACATGCCTGCTGTGTACTCTGCAAGCGAGGGAGTGACAGTGCCTCATGAGTGCCGTGGCGCTGTCGTCCTCTGCCTGCATTCTCTGCAAAGAAGCACATGAAATATCAATGCTGCCATGCCCCCTCCCTCCTTGGTATCGCTTTCCTCCCCACTCCTCCTTTCCAAATCTCTTCCTGTTTCACTCTTATTCACCCCCTCCCTCACCTCCCCTCACCCTCTCCCTCACCCCCCTTCATCCCTATGTCTATGCCCCATGAAGGACGTGTGTGTGCCCTTGTCGCGACTGGCGGAGTGCATGGACGCCACCAAGAGCGACGTGCAGCGCTCCTCCCTGCCGTGCCCCATGCTGGCACACGCGGGCGACGGCAACTTCCACGTGTGCATCTTCTTCGACCCGACTAGCACCGAGGAGACCAAAGAGGCCAAGGCCCTCTCTGCTGCCATCACTCTCAGGGCGCTCGCCATGGATGGTGGGTATGCAAGAGGGGTGAGGGAGGGGTAGGGGGGAGAGGAAAGGGCAGGGTGGTGTGGAAAGTGGGGTGGTAGCTGCATACTACTGCATGCTGTGTTGTGGCAGCGAGGCGTGGCTTGTGAGTCATGGCGAGCTGTAACTGTCTCCCTCTCTGTCCCGTTGCCCCCTGCTTCTCAGCATGTGGCAGCCTCACTCACGGCATGGCGTTACTCATCGCATCCCCTCGCATTACCCCATCCGCCCATGCAGCAATCCCCCCCTCACGGCCTCCCCCATCCCACGCCCATGCCCCCATTGCCATGCAGGCACGTGCACGGGGGAGCACGGGGTGGGTGTGGGCAAGACACAGTACCTGGAGAGGGAGGTGGGCGTGGGGGCAGTGGCGGCCATGCAGGCAGTGAAGGACGCTCTGGACCCACACGGCATCCTCAACCCCGGCAAGGTGCTGCCGCTCCGCCCCCCCTGCCTCTCCTGATTGCCCACCCCTCACATGCCTACTCATTCATGCTGTTGGGCTGAAAAAAGTACTTAGGATCGTTTCAAGACTAAACTCTCAGAGTAGTGATGTATTTAGCGGAAGCGTAACAGTGGATTAATTGAACCACCTTGTACTAGTATGTGAGAACAATATGAATTGATTATAGCAAAGAGATACACGGTTTTATATGATTACAGTTGGAATTGGAAACAAGTACTGTTGGAATTGGAAACAAGTAATTTAACGCTTCTGAAGTAATCGAAGTATCGACACGAAACGGAGCAGACTACAGCGAAACAACACGCGAGTCAACAACCGTAACAGCTGATTCCGCATCGGATTCCGCCAACTACCGCACGACCAAGGGATGTACCGACTCACTAAAAGGACCAACTACATCATACTCATCGTCTACGTAGACGACCTTCTCTACATAGGCTCCACCGACGACATAACGACCTGGTTTGAAGGGGAGCTGCAGCGGGATCTGACACTCACCGTCGCGACTACCGTGACACGGTACCTGGGACTCAACCAGGCCCTACGATATCAGGAATTTTTCCCTGAAATTCCTGATTTTCAACCTAGTTTTGTGTACCTACACTGAATTTTCAGTGTTGAGATTTTTGTGACACTGATTTTTTCAGCCTTTACTTCATAGCTAACACTGATGTTTCAGACTTTTATCGAAGTGTACACTGAATGCACATTCCGAATCCTTCCCGTAAAACACCCGAGACAATAAGTCAACCAACATTTCCGCATCATAAAATCTTGTGTAAAAAATACCGATCGTCCGACTCGATGAACTGGCTTAGTGGTTAGCGAAGTAGATACCGATTGATAAGGTTTCCGGTTCGAATCCCTCTACCACCATGTTCTTAAAGCGACGGTGCACATTTGCCACCCAAAACCCAGAACCCTGGCGAACTGTTACTGCGGATGGAAAGTGTCCGCACGAAATCCTGGTTTTCGCCAGCCAGCACTTTCGCGCTGGCAAGCCTGGTTAAAAAAAAAAACTTCTGAACCCAACACTGCCAAAAGTTGCCCGTCGCTTTAAAGGCTACTCTTTTGCACAATTGCATGATGTAATTGAAAATTCAGGCTCTTGTTTTCCGGAACCCTGAAAATTCAGGCTTTTTTTTTTAGGAACCCTGAAAATTCAGGCTTTTTTTCACAGGGACCCTGATGCATCAACGTCCCTAAAAGTGAATCTGAGGGCCTGGACTCAACATACAAGACGGCGACAACGCAATCTACCTCAGCGCCGAAAAATACACGGACACCATCGCTAAACGATTCGGACTTACTCCATCTACCATCACCACACCATACCGCTACACCGACAGAAATCGCAAGTCTCCACCCTACTCAAACCCGCCGGCATTCGCGACTACCAACGAAAGCTAGTCTGTCTACTCTTCGCAGCTGTTACCTGCCGGCCGGATCTATCTTACTCAGCTAGTCAACTCGCCACCTACCTCAAGAAGCCCGAAGCAGAACACATGATGGAGCTGGACCGTGCACTTCACAACCTCATCAACACCCCGACGATTGGACTAACCTATCACAAGACCGGAACTACGACACCTAAGTTAATCGACTACGTCGACGCCGATCACGCTGGAGATTCTGACAACAGACGATCTCGAACTGGCTACATCTATTGACTCGAACCTATCGGCCCCATCTCATGGCAGTCGAACAAGCAAGAGCTAATCGCTTTCTCCTCAGCCGAAGCAGAATATATCGCACTCTGCTCAGCCACCAAGGAAAGGCTATATCTTCGCGAATTGCTGGAGGAAACAAAATTGGCTCAGTTACCCAGCTTCTCCCTCTTCTGCGACAACCAATCGGCCATTCGCATAGCGAACAAGAATGGGTTCGCGAATCGAACGAAGCACATCGCCCTCTGGTACTTCTTCGTAAAAAACGAAATCGAGAAGGGAAGACTCGAGCTATCCTACTGACCCACATCCGAGATGGCAGCCGATTACTTGACCAAGAAACTTGGAAAACATAAGTTCGAGTACTGCATGCTGCTGACTGGACAAGGACACGTCATCAGCAGCGACACTCCAGAAGCGAAGGGGAGTGTTGGAATTGGAAACAAGTAATTTAACGCTTCTGAAGTAATCGAAGTATCGACACGAAACGGAGCGGACTACAGCGAAACAACACGCTGGAGGTTACGCGAAGGTCAAAGGTCGCTGACCTTTGACTCGACGAAAAATACAGTGCGACAGCAATGACACATAACTGACTCGATACTGAGCAGTTACCCGAGTCGTCACTGTATCGAACCGCAACAGCAAAAACAGTTAAAATAGAACCTTTCATATTCCTTAGTAATCATATAAAAGCTTTGTATCTCTCTGCTATTATCAACTCATCTTGTTCTCACATACCAGTGCAAGGTGGTTCAAGCAATCCTTTATTACGCTTCCGCAAACTACAACATTCCTACTACTACAAGAGATCTTAGCCTTGAAAAGATCCTAGGGGCTATTTCTCAGCCCAACATGGTATGAGAGCCCCCAAGGCAAGATCGATTTCCAAAACTCCTACGACAACACAAGACATGGCAACACAGAAGGAGAGGAGCTCCTCCAACGGATCTCTCGGCACTACTCCTACTCCACCTCCAGCCTCTGGCATACAGACAGAGGAAGGAACAGTAACAAGACCAGCTGCGGAGCCGACCGAAACTCTTGTGAATCAAGCAGCAGGCTTCGACCCAAACATGATGGAGAAGTTCTTCTCCTTCATGTCTTTCTACGAGCAACACCAGCATGTCAAACATTATATATGTTGTGTTAGTTTAGGCTACAGTGGGTTAGCCTATAGGGGGTACACAATTCTAGGGTTAGGTACTTGTACTCTTTTCATTGCTAGTTCATTGATTCCTGTTCAGTGATTCCAACATGGTATAGAGCAGGTCCTTCCTAGGACCGAAATTTCCTAAGGGCCCACCACTACGTATCTACCTACCCGTGCCCTAGGGCGCCTCGGCGTGTCACGCCCCTAGAGGCCCCTCTTGACGGCCCCGCGCTAGCCCCGTTCAGGCCCCGTCGGCCCCTTTAAGGCCCCGTTCAGGCCCCGCGCTAGCCCCGTTTAGGCCCCGTCGGCCCCGTTTCAGGCCCCGTCGGCCCCACGCTAGCCCCTCTCAGGCCCCGTCGACCCGCGCTAGCCCCGTTTCAGGCCCCGTCGGCCCCCTTTTCAGGCCCCGTCGGCCTCGCGCTAGCCCCTCTCAGGCCCCGTCGGCCCGCGCTAGCCCCGTTTCAGGCCCCGTCGGCCCCGTTTCAGGCCCCGTCGGCCCCGCGCTAGCCCCTCTCAGGCCCCGTCGGCCCGCGCTAGCCCCGTTTCAGGCCCCGTCGGCCCGCGCTAGCCCCGTTTCAGGCCCCGTAGGCCCCGCGCTAGCCCCTCTCAGGCCCCGTCGGCCCCGCGCTAGCCCCATTCAGGCCCCGATCGGGCCCGCGCTAGCCCCGTTTCAGGCCCCTTCGGCCCCGTTTCAGGCCCCGTCGGCCCCGCGCTAGCCCCGTTCAGGCCCCGTCGGCCCCTTGCTAGCCCCGTCAAGGCCCCGTTTGGCCCCGCGCTAGCCCCGCTCAGGCCCCGATCGGCCCCGCGCTCGCCCCTCTAGGGCCCCAACCGGCCCCGTGCCTACCTCGCCGACCCGTGCCCACCACCCAGAGGCCCCGGGCGGCCCGTTCCGGCCGCAGCACAAGAGGGAGAGCGGGCGGCCCGTCCCCGCCGTGACCTGAGCCGAGCCGCGACCCGACCTGAACCGAGCCGCGCCGCCCTGCCCTACCTGGTTCGTCCTACCTGCTTCTCCTACCGCTACTGCTGCTATTTCTACTGTTCCTATGGCTAGCCCACAGGTTCTCGTGTTCGATGCTGAGGGCCGCCCTGTGAAGTTTGACACCTGGCTCGATGACCTGCACCTCTACCTACAGCTCACAGCCAAGGATGACATCTCACTGTACGATCACGCCCTAGGCCTTGTCACTGCCCCTGCTGCTACTGCTGACAGCACTGCTCGCTCACAGTGGCAGACTCGTGATGCCCACGCTCGCTTCGCCATTCGCAACTCCCTGCCGATAGACGAACGCGAGCACTTTGGTCAGCACAAGACTGCACCGGCACTGTACACAGCTGTAGTTGCTCGCTACTCCTCACCTGCCTCTGCCGCACTAGGCCGTCTCTCCCTCCCCTACCTGTTTCCCGACCTGGCCTCCTTTCACACAGTCGCTGACCTCATCACGCACCTCCGTACTAGTGAGGCCCGCTTCCGTGCCGCCATGCCTGCTGAGTTCCTTGCCACGCACCCCCCTCCACTCTGGCTCACTCTCTATCACCTAGTCACCCGCCTCCCTGACACACTGCGTGCTGTCAGGGACCACTTCCTAGCTCGTTGCCCCACTGAGCTCACCATTGCCCTCCTCGAGAAGGAGCTACTTGCAGCTGAGGCTAGCATAGTCGCTGTAGGTGCCTCTCGTGGCGACCCCCGTACCCCGTTCTTTGAGGGGTGTTCTCCTTCCCCCCTTCTTCCCTCTGTCGCCTCTGCTGCTGCTGTCGACCTTCTTGGTACTGAGAAGGTCGGCGCTTCGTCTGCCTCGAGCGGACGCCGCAGCGGCAAGGGCAAAGGGGGCAATGGTAGTGGCGGTGACGGCGGGGGAGGCGGCGGTGGGGGCGGTGGAGGCAGTGGGGGTGGTGGCTCGGCTGGAGGGGCGAGTGGTAGCGGTGGGGGTGGTGGCTGCAGCGGCGGGGGAGGTGGCAGGAGTGGAGGCGGCGGTTGGGGTGGCGGTGGACGAGGCGGCGGCAGGGGTTGGGGTGGTCGAGGAGGTGGCAGCGGTGGTGGTGGCCGTGGAGGCGCTGGCGGTGGCCAGGGCCAGCAGCACACTCTCTCGCCCCAGGAGGTCCGTGAGTGGTACTCTCAGCACGGGGGTGGGGGTGGTCTTAGCTGCACGTACGTCATTCGCACTGGTGACCGCACTGGT